ACTTTTGTTAAGTGAATAACAATTCATAAAAAAAAAAAGAATAACAATTTATGGCTTTGAGTAACTACTTGGCTGTCTGAATAAACATTTCTATATACGTACGGTTCATCGCTCATAAAAAATTGGTATTCACTTTTAGGACAGAGTAAACACTTATTTACTTTCAAAGAAACGAGTTTGCGATCAGTTGTTTGTTTGTTTTCACGAAACTTTGTCGTTTATTCACTATAATAGTATAGTTTGTCTCTGACAGTTAGACGCGACATCCCATAAAAGATCGCGACAGAGAATCCATCTTGTCGTGAAAAAAACCCTCGATATACGGGAATTTTTTTACATCATCTTGTATATGTGTCTAGACAAACATATAATGGCTCCGTAGTATATGTCTACATGGATATTGAAATGTAACATCTTGAATGTGGATTGTGCTATATGTGATGAGATAGATTGCTTCATTCTTAGTTTCTTCGATTGTGTTATGTAACATTTGATCCCTAGCTCAGTTCGATCCATTTTTTTTCCCCCTTCTTCTTTGAAACCCTTGTTTGAGGGCTAGCTGCTGATATGAAGGATAGGATCCCACAACGGTAAATTTTGACAAGTTGAACTCAACAGAATGGAAATAGCTCCAAAAAACTGATCAGCATTACCGAGACAGAAACCCTAGCTAACTCACGTTCAAAATGCTACCCTTTTGATCATCATTACCTTTCCTTTGGCATTATGCAGTAAAATCCAGTAGTGGTGTCAGTCATCCAGTTTTCAATTTTTGTCCTTTTCCCCCCCACTACCTTCCATGCATGCCTTTGCGTGAGAAACCCCCCTGCTCATCAGTGAATCCAAGGAAGGATTTGGATTAGAACAAACTGGGTGTGTTTGTTTCAGCTTTTTTTTTCTCTCTTTACCAAATTACCATGGACACTAATGGTTTAGGGATTATTAGTGTAGTTTTGTGAGAATCATATTGAAAAAAAAGCAAGATGGTTAGAGCATCCAGCAATTGCAAAAGAAATTGCATTTGTGTTTTTATTGTTAATTTTTTTTTTCAATCCACATCACATTCATTTCATTCACCTACATCAATGCAATTAACTTGCAGTTGCAAATGTAATTAAATATTATGTTTAAATTATAGAAAATTAAGTAAAAGAGAAAAGAAAATAATATAAAGTAAAAAATCCCCCATTTTTTAAGGCTTTTTTGACTTGCATATGGAATTGCATTTGTTGCAAGCTTGCAAATATGTAATTGGTAGCCACATCAATGCAATTGGTTTTGCAATTGCAAACACCTATGTCATGTCATTTTGCAATTGAGAATGCAATACCAATGTAGATGCTCTTATTAGTTTGGTCTTTGATCAATGATCATGACACATATCCTCATCTGGTCAGTACCGTATTATTAGCACGTGTTTTATTTAACGTAAAATTTGAAAACTATGATTTGCCCGTTGTAGATCGATACTTTGTATATCTGAAAAAGAAAGATCTAATGTATTTTGAGATAATATTTATTATGGGTGCAGGTAAAATTGGAACCAATTTTTTTTCTTGTCACATGGAACTTGGTTCTAATAATTTGATGGTTCATAGCTTTTAATTTCACTTTTATTGCTCTTCCTTTATGTTTTACACGTCTTGGACACCCTTGTGCACATATTAATTACCCTATCAACATTTTAATCAAAACAAATGTACTTAGTATTAAGTAGAATCAAATTAAACATGCTCTAGATAATCTCATTTTTTTCTCTCCCACCACTTGTCTATAAAGAGAAGGCCGATCAACCCTGATTTAACTCACTGCTTGTAAACCTCACTTGGATACAATCTTTCTTGATTAAGACCATAACTCTCTTGCCATTGTCTTTCTTTCCCCCTCTCCTTCCTACTTCCCTTTCTTCAGCCAGCTTTCGAAGTTTCCAATGGCTTCCCAACATCAAAACAATGATGGAGATGGAAAGGGAAAAGGAATTGCTTCTGCTTCTTCATCATCATCATCAGGAGATTCCACATCGAGGAGCTTGGATCTGAACCTGTCGTTGGGCTTCCCCAACCACCACAACCATGCTCCACAGAGTTCTCCAAACACTCATCCTCAGGTACATACATTTTCTTCATTTTCCATTGGGCTAGAAATTCTCATCAAACACACCACTCAAGTGTCAGTACTGGTGGAGCTGGGTTGAAGTTAAAAGATGTTGTAGGCTGCTCAACTTTGAAATATAGACAAAATTACAACTAAATTTTGTACAGATTTAGGAATTACAATAATCAGTGAGGGGTTTAACCCCATCTTTCTTAGTTAATTACCACAATTCAAGTCAGATGCCCTCGTTCAAATTTCTGGCTTGATCACTGTCAAGTGGGAAGTGAGTCATACACTAGTTAGTGTCAGTGGCAGATCTAGATTGTATCCAGGAGAGGCTATACCCCTCTCAACTTTCAAAGTGTAGGTGAATTCATATGTAAAATTTGCAACAGAATCGGGAAAACTAGACTAAGTTAGTAAGACTCTTGTCCCCCTTTCAAATTTCTGGCTTTACAACTGATTGTTTTTGACATGCATGGTGTGCTTCCATGGTTCTAACTCGATTACTGTTTTGAAATTGTAGGGCAGGAGGATGAGTCAGCAATACTATGGACAAAGCCCCAATCATCCAGCTCCCTCGGCTTTTGGGTTCTTCGATCAACAGCCAAACTACACCAACAGCAACCCTAGCTATCATTACCACACCAGTAGTACTGGAGGCTACATCTACTCCCCCGCCGTCAACAGCAGCAGCAACGTGATCGACAACAACGCAGCAGGGATGGCTAATTGGCTGACGCCGGCGGCGAGGGACCGCCGCCACAGCATGCACCACCTTCCTTCTCCTCCTGCGGCGGTGGCCGATAACTTCAACATGTTGTTGATGCAGCAGGGTGCAGGTGGGCCGGTGAATCCAGCTGGCAGCCACGTGTTTGATGCAGGAAGGGCCCCACAGATGTACCAGTACAACCCTAACGGATACATTGGTACTAGCGACAACTACGGTGCTGCTGCTCCAGTGCTACAGCTGGCACCACCCTCGGCGGGCGTGAATGTGAGCGGCTATCATCAGTACCAGCCGCCGCAAGTGGCGGTGGCGGCGGGAGAAGGCGGCAGCAACGGCGGCGCTGCTGCTGGTGCTGCAACGCCTCGCCGGCGTAGGGAGGGGAACCATTTCCCGCCGGGCAAGAAGTGCCTGGTTTGTCGTGGCTGCGACACTCCCATGTGGCGCCGCGGCCCACATGGCCCCAAGGTATGCATTCTTCGTTGCCCTAAGCCCCTAACCATTTCGTCAAAACCTAGGGGGGGCGTCATCTCGGTTCGGTTCGGTTAACCGAATCGAAACCAATTTAAATGGAAAAACTCCGATTTAGTCTGTTTCCTCAAAACCGAACCCGTTAACGGGCTTGTCGGTTACCCGAAAGACAATAAATTTCTTAACGAGTTCAGTAACGGTTTGAGCTAACAAAAAAAAAACAAAATCTTGCACCCATTTTTAAAAGTTTTGCTTAGAGCAAAGTTCGGGTTCGGATTTAGTTTCTTATTGATTTTTCGATTTAGATCTGCATCAATATATAAATCCAAACCAATTCGGGACAAAAGAAACAAAATTGACAAGATTCTGATCGGTTCAATTTCGGTTTAAACCAGGGGGAAAAAAACCCGAAGCCAAGCCCTACCTCCGATGTCAATCATCCAGAAAAAAAGAAAACGGACTCATGGTTACGTTTTTGGCTGCTATGGTTTGTTTTTCTTTCTTCTTTCTTTCTTTGCAGACACTGTGCAACGCTTGTGGAATCAAGTACAGGAAGGAGGAGGAGAGAACGAGGGCAAGGCAGGCTGGAAACGGAGCCGGTGCTGGTGGTCGTCCCAATAATGGCGGCAACTGATTAACAATCAGCAATGGATGTGATTCAAATGGGTTATTGGGCGAGATGGTTGGGAGCTAGATCTCTGTAATTTTCTTGCGTCATGTGTGTTTTAAATTTCGTTGTTCTTTAATCTGAAGTGAGCTCATAAGTGAAGCTAGGTTTAATATGTTGGTGATCAGACAATCAGTTTGTTTTACTGTGGTTTGTGTTGGAGTCATGATCAATCCTGTTAGGGGGTTGGGATCGTTTTATATGGTTCTGGAAGTAACTTTTGGGTTTTCTTGATCAGTATAATTAATGAGCGTGTGTTGATGATGATTTTGTGCCCTAACCCTCCATTAGGAACGGAAATGGGTCTACTACTCTATACTCGTTGGATAATTTGATCTCTATTCGATTGTATTTTTAATGGTTCTGGGTTGGGTTTGAATTGGACCCAATTTGGAGTAACTCATATGGATCCAACCCAAATGAGTCTATCCATATTCGAACAATTGTACACACAGAAAGACAATATCAATCATATCATTAAATGTCTTCAACCTAATTACACCTTTAATGTCCGCGTTTACATCTTTCAGTTGGTTTGATAACAAAAAGTAATGCAAAAATTGCGAATAAATGACACATTTGGTCATTGAGATTACTAAATTTGGTCGTGTGCCAATTCAGGCATACAGTTCGATTATCGGACCGATAGGACACATTTGGTCATTGAGATTACTAAATTTGGTCGTGTGCCAATTCAGGCATACAGTTCGATTATCGGACCGATAGGACCATGCCCTTGTTTTTTTTTTTAGTTTTGAGATCAGTACAGCATGATCACTTGATCTGTCTATTTTCATCTGACCCTTCTCATCAGCATTTTCTGTTGCAATTCTAATTTAGTTCTTGACTAGGAGATAAAGTCCCAACCTAGACATGAAGGAAGATCTAGAAATGTGCAAGCAACAGTAATGAAAGAAGTATGATCAAGGTGGGGAAAAGAAAGACCATTATGTGTACAATCTTTTGGAGAAGGTAGGGCTGACTATTCATGTATCAAACTATCAAGAAAAAAAAAAAGAGTATGAACTGAGCTTAGGGAATCTAGATTAGCTTCTTCTTCTGGAAGTACCGCGTCAAGTACCACACCTGGAACGTCGCAACTGCAATGCACACACTAAGTGCCATGATGCTGAACCAAGCCACTCTCCCGTTGGTCTGTTCACTCACTTCCCTCATCTCTGCTTCCCTGTCAATTTAAAAGCCACAATAAGCCAGATGAATTTGGAGTAAGTAACCATAGATGCTTAGATATGTTAACTGTCATGCGTTGTCAAGGTTCTAACCTTGGGTGATGATGTGAGCTAAGCCATTTTCCATATCCTTCTTCACACATTCAACTAATTCTACAGCTACAAAACTAAGATACTAGTATGCTAGCTCCTTTTGTCTACGCTTGCATTCGTTTCAAGCACCTCACATGAAAACTTCTACCCAAATTCGATACCAGTTGCATGCTTGTCAAAACAACATAGTATAAAGACTAGTGTGTTAAAACAACATTGTACAAGGCCTACTAATGTTACTAACCCAGCAATATACTAACTAGTTTCACGGTTTTGCAAACAACTTATGCTTTATTAAGTCTGTAAACTTGCCTTACTGAATTGGAGGTAACAAAGTCACAGAACGGCAAGAAAACCAGTATGCAGGATGGACAAGTTAGTTACCACGCAATATACTAAGCTAACTGATAACACCTGATTGAAGTAAAATATATCGATTAAAAGTGTGTACCTTTCTTTGAGATAGATCAGATTTTGATGGATCGACTCTACAGATGCTTCTAGCCTCTTTAGGTCAAGCTCAACACCCTACACCATAAGTAAAACACATCAATAAACAGATAATTGAGAAACAAAGTAACTCTCAGATAGACGAGATCTCCACAGCAGAATCTGCAGCAGTAAAGTATTGATAATAGACTTGCCTCAATCTTTTCTTTCTTCGCCACTGAATCCCAGTCCTTTGCAGCAATACCAGTTTTCCATTCCAAACCCAAACTTACGTTTGCGACATGTTCCTGATGTTCGTCCAGCCAAAAACATGCCATGTAGTTACCCGCTTCGCTGGTCGTGAAGGCAAACTGACCGTGTGTCGCATTTTCCTGGTGGTGTAGATCAGTCCCATATGGGGATGTCACCTACAACAAACAGAGACTTATGTTAAGCACAATGAAACAGGTTCCCAAAATATTAGTCTAGATGCTAGCTATAGGCTAAGCTTTGTCATTTCTACTACTGGTTTATGTCATCATATCAGGAGAAACTGCTGCAGCATTTTGGAAATCAAGCACGGATCCTGGAATGATTATGGGCTGACTTTGTACAACAAATATTTGAAAATCGTTCATATTCCAAGTACAGGACCAAAGGGCTAGCTATCAATTATCATAGAGAGATTACTCTTCTCTGTGTAAATTTGCTAAAGAAAACAATAAAAGAGCTGATGTGAAATAAGATTTCATGGAGAAAACGACACATGAGGAATGGATTGTAAGCATACTTCTGCAGCTAATATAAGAGGAGCTCACCTGAAGAGAAAATGAAACTTACAGATCATCCATAAAAGACAGCTGAACCACTCAATACAGTGTCCAGAATAGTTTTGGAAATATAAGAGAAGGCTATGTTTATCAACAGATGCAAAGGGTACACCAGTAGGTAATCAATAACCAAAGAAAAGCATGACATAAGAGCCTGATGAGAACCATATTACACAGGCTGCATAATGTATGCCTAAACTTGGATCTTTGAGATATAGCAAAAGTCCACAACACATTTAAAGCATCCGCATGTTATTTTTATGGAGGGCTGCTTTAGAGGACCAGAAAACTCGAGAGGTGCTAAAAAACAAAACTTTAATGGGTTTCTACCGCAATCCTACAAGGATACAATGAATAAGTGGGCTACTTCTTGTTCCTGCATAAGTTCTTCCACAAAATCCATAGTTTCATTTCCTCCCTACCATATCAAACAATATCACATGCTGCCTGCACTGCAAACTGGCAACCGCGTAGACCAGGGATCTACCCAGTAAGAGCTTGGCCTAGCAGTTCAACTAATGTTGCCATCTCATTGAGCCAATCTCAAATGCTTTATCATTTGTGCTTCATCATTTCGTTGAGTGCCAATCCACTACAATCCTCTAAGTACTAGATGATTATAAAGCAAGATGCTAGAAATCATCTTAGGTGATTTGACTAACATCAATAAGGACTTGTATCTGTATGGTTATCAGATTCAGGAGCACACAAAATAAGATACAAGCTTATCACAATTCCGAATCAGAGCTAATCCAAAGAAGAAATTGAGTCAACCCCAGATGAAAATTCCAAGCTCCGGAAGGTATAACACGAAATCAAAGCATTCAAAGCTAAGCAATTGAACAAAATCTAGAAACCGATTTCCAATTTCCACAACAACAAAAAAAAAAACATTTCATACCCGGGAAGAAACCTTCGGCACATGCTCCGGCTTCTCCTCGTTGATGACATAATAATCAGCTAGAACGACGACGTTGCTATGGATCTCTTCGGAGACGCACTTGGTTCCCGAACTAGGGATCGACAACCATATACCTCTGGCTGCAGGGAGTAACGACGCTACCATTGCCAGCAGCAACACCGCCACGGCGGCGCGAGAGTTTAGGCGTGGAGCCATTTCGATTGGAGAAATGGCGGATAGAGGAACAAAGATGGAAATTCGATGAGGAAAGTAAGAGAAAGAATCCTGGAGCAGCTAACCGCCGCCGCTGTCAAGTCGCCGGAGTCCGAGGCAAGTCAGATATCGTTTTCCCTTCGTTTTTGCTTATTCAATGGGATTCCGTTTCGTTTTACGATAGTATAAGTGAAAATAGGAAGAGGAGCGTTTATCGGGTGCGCGTGGGATATGGATGATATGGTGGCGACTGGTGACGCAGTCTATTTTTTATCATCCAATCACGTTTCGAATGGACTGTCCATTTCGGACACACTAGTGCGCCCTTGGGAGGAACTCCACGCGCCATCGCTTTGTCGCGTGGCTACCTTAACCCGGCGTCGCGTCAGGCACCATTCACATTATTATTTTATTTTTATCTCCCCACCATTTTTCTATAAAAAAGATAATGATTCTAAGGGCAAATCACACATTGACTAATCATGGGAAAGATTCATAGTTTAGAGGTTAGAACTTAGAATTCAATTTTAATTGACAAGATGTATTTTAGAATGAAATGAAAGAATTTTTGCAAGAGTTCTGAAATAAGACATGTTTATGCTGAATGGGTTCTACAACGACACAACAAGTAATCCAAAAACTCATCTTTCATCACGACATTTACATTAAAGAATCTCCAATACATTTCCTAGAATGTGGTTTAGTCATAGTTGGGAGGACTTAACTTAGCTGCTATGCCCCTATGATAGACAAAATAAATTAAATACACTTTTTCAATAATTAGAGTTATAGAGATTAAGTAGTTTGTTTGTTAATATGGTTTCAGATTTAGAGCTATTGGCCGAGAGGTCATGATTTTGAATCTTTATGACGACTTATAATATAAACAATAGTTTTAACACAATAGATGATATGTTCAATCCATGCAAACTGAAAATCCACAATTAAACTTTCGTTTGAGGGGGCGTATTAACAATATGAGTTACAAGGCCGACCATCCTGGATTCAATCGTGTATTATTCGATGAATTAGTGGTGTATGACTAATTTATTAAAGTGATGACGGTTCATTTATATTTATTAACTAATATTAGTGCTAGTCATCGGTCAATATTCGCATGTTTATATTTTTGTTCATCATGTCATCGTTAAGGTACTATGTGTGTTCTAAAATCCTATTTGTCTTATAAAATGACATAAGAAATTGTTAATGGATTAACAATGATGATTGGAAATAATTTCACGTAGAATAAAAAAAAATTAAAGAGTTGATAAATTTTTTTTATTTCAAATTATTGTAAAAAATAACGACCATTTTCATGTATTATACTTAAAAATTTGAACCACAATATGACTTGCACAATTTATTGAACGAGTCTGATGAGTTAACAATGGTTTAACAACCTCCACGCTCTTCGTCTTCCTCCACCAGTCCAACACCCGCTACGTACGTACTTTTTTCCACCATGGATGGAGGGCCTTCAATTTTCACTGCCCCGCTTGGCGGTTGTATCTTCATCTGATGAATGCGACTTTCGCGATCGATTTTACTTCTAGCTCCAAGCTGCAGATAATCCTGGTGTGATACGGATTTGTAATTTGGCGCATGCTTTTCATGATCCTTGACGAGAAGATCTGGCAATGGCTCAATCATGGCGTTGAAATTTGGGCTGTGGAACGCCGCAATGGACAGTCTCTCCTTGGCAGGATTCACCACTGCCCTGTGCTCTATGCTCTTGTATTCTCCGTTGCTCATGATCTGTCATCCACGCATACCCAACGTTATTATCGAAATGAGTCGATTTTCAGTATGTTAAGGAATATTCAGCTGCTGCTGCTGCAATTGACCTGATTTTATGTTATTATTACTTAATTACCTCTATGATGTCACCGACATTAACGATGAATGCACCTGGAATGGGATGAATGGGAATCCATTTCCCGTCTCTCCTTATTTGCAGACCTTGTACTTCATTCACTTGAGTGAGTAGAGTCAATCCAGTGCCGTCGGAATGTGGGGCGAGGCCAATGACCTTGGTAGCGAGCTCACATGGCGGATAGTAGTTGATTCTCATACCTTGCATACCTTGTTTGAACAAAGTGAGTAGCTTTTCTAGATCGAGTCCCAGGTTCTTAGCCATGGAACTCAACAAGCTACTAGCCAGCTTTTCCAGCTCTGTTGAATACTGGTCCATAGTTTCCCTGGTGGGGAAAATGGCAAACCAGAACCTTTTTGTTAATGGGTGTCAGAGATGGAAAATTTGGTCTGCAGGCAAACAAATTATTAATTTGGTATATTTGTCGATTAGACGACCGAGTTTGGGTCCTAATTAAGTGGTTCAAACAATGTTTATGAAGCCATATATATGATTTTATGTTCACATTTTAAGGTTTAATGGAAAAAGAGTCGTTAATAATCCTGACAAGAATATACTATATGATCCAGTCCATACGACTTGATTTATCAAACAATGGTTGAAACTATTCATGTTGGGTTTCATATCAAGAACACGTACACCAGGCTTATTTTTGGTTTCATGCGACACTTTCAATTGGTTATTAGCAAGTCAAGTTAAAATTTAAGAGTAAAGATGCATATCCATTTGGCATAGTGATGTGAGGGAACGAACCTAAAAGAAGAGGGAATTCTTGGCCAAAACTTCATTCTTCTTCCATCTACAGGTCGTGTAAGGATGAAGAGCATGTCACCCCAATCAAGCTTTTGTTCTTCCGATACAACGAAAGCTTGTCCATATCCTTCAATGTCATTTGGTAGTTGGGCACATACCATTTTCTCTTGCAATGGTTGGTTGAAGAATTCCTGAACATCTACTTTCATTTTCCGAATCAACTCTTCTGCCACTCCATGATTGATCACCTGATTTTTTAACATGATATCAATTTCTCTTTTTGATCAAATTTAGGATCTATTTGCATGACAAGTCTCTAAAATGATGATGACATATTATTCATGAAATCCACAATAAAAATGAAAAACTAAGATAGACGAAAAATATATATCATACTATAGGAATGGAAATAAGGCATGTGGGAGGGTTCTCAATACAGATGCCCGTCACGTACTAAGTGCATATCAATCTGACCTAGCTAGTTGTTGTGCAATTATAAACTTCTGTTGTTGTAACACTTACTTTTACATGGAAAAAAACCAAAGGGGAAACATTTTTAAACCTATAATGAAAATAATTTGGGAAATTTGACCCATGTTCCACATATATATATAAAATCCATATCATTCAAAAATATATATCATACTATAGGAATGGAAATAAGGCATGTGGGAGGGTTCTCAATACAGATGCCCGTCACGTACTAAGTGCATATCAATCTGACCTAGCTAGTTGTTGTGCAATTATAAACTTCTGTTGTTGTAACACTTACTTTTACATGGAAAAAAACCAAAGGGGAAACATTTTTAAACCTATAATGAAAATAATTTGGGAAATTTGACCCATGTTCCACATATATATATAAAATCCATATCATTCAAAAACTTGAGTTGATAAGGAAAAGTATCAACAATTTTGGCTAGCGAGTCATACCTGAAAGAACCCCCAATTTTTGCAAGCCGAGTGCAACTTAGCCGATTCGCTATCATCGTCATCATCAAGACCACCACCTAACTTGCTCATATCAATCACTGGTATCTGAGAGTTCTCATCATTGGAAACTTGATCGAGCTCGAGTTCAGGACGTATGTATCTGATCGGCACGTCCTTGGAGCTGGAAGCCAGCTGCTGAACGTTAGGAACTGCAAGAGAACCTCCAGCCTCCGGTCCCGCCATTTCTAACAACACTTCTTCTTCCTCCTCTTCCTCTTGAGCTTAGTCGTCGTCTCCACAGTTGCAGGCTTTCGTTGTTAGCTCAATAAATAGGGAAAGAATCGAGTTATTAAATGATAGTTGGGTATGCAGCTGTTCCTCCTTGAAAAACATGCACATGTGAAACGAAAAATAGAGCAAGTTAAAGAAAGAAGAAGACTTTCAAGATTCGACTTCTCTAAATAGAAAAAGAAACAGGTTAACTATTTTTTTTTTTTTTTTTTTTTGAAACTACTAACTACAATGTCAACTTCTTGATATTTGCTATTGATTAACTGGTAATACTGCCTGGCGCGTGTTAATTAAATAAATACTATTCATTCATTTGTATAAACATCTGGCAGGGGCATGGCTGTTAATATAAACACCTCCATGTACACAAAGTATTTTAATTAATATACCTTTGAATGTCGCGTGTTAATTAAATAAATAACTATGGCTTGTTTTCATGACAACTTGAAATGAAACAATGTGTGATGTATAGATATAGTAGAACTCAATTTGGAATTTGGAATCCGAATCGAAAGGATGTGAATGATTGCCTTACAAATGAGGCTGAGTAATGTTTCGGTCAGTAACACTGTAACAGGCAGTCCGTCCCTGTTGTTTCTCGTCAGGGGCGGTTTGAATTCTGCGGCTGTTGAAATGGTCGAGACGATTTGACTCGAACGAATGTTTCCCAAAATATTGTCGTTTTGATGAGCGATTTTTAAGTCTAACTACTTCTAAAAAAAAAAGTACCGGGGGCCTATCAACAGAAACTTCCTCCTGATCCCACAAACAAAAGGGAGCAAGCTTGGATGGAATTTCTTAAACATGATTACCAAAAGAAGGAAGAGCACTTCTACTATGCTATATAGCATTGGTGTTTTAATGTACAACTTAAAGTTGTACCATAACATTAAATGTATAAGTTTAGGTTGTACCATAAAATAATTTGTAACATTATGTTATGGTACAACTTTACAACTTGAAGTTGTACCATCACATAAAGGTACAAGTTCCAGTTGTACCATACAAGAATTTGTACAAAAAGTATAGGTACAATCTGAAGTTGTACCATAACGTAAATGTACAATTTTAAGTTGTACTATGAAGGCAAAAACCTATAGCACCAATACTATATAGCATTGTAAAATTTCTCAAGAAGGAAATATCTGGCGTTGCTACATCATTCCACGAAAAACACACCCCATTCCATAGCTAAATTCCACCGGTAAGCCAAAAAAATTCTCATCTTTCTGATCCAATGTAAGGTTACCTTGTGTTGTAACTTGTAAGGCAAAATACAATGTAGATTCATTTGGTAAATACAAACAACGACCTCAACCTACATGAACCAACCAAACTGCACTTAAACATCGGCTACAGCCTGCAGCAAACTACATACATGAAACAAACAACACAGCGGTAGTCTACCAATTGCTTGACCGCATTCGACTAGCAATTGCTCAAAGCTTTACCATCTGAAACTTGTCACTTAAGCTGCAAAAATCTAGCTCTGCTTTTGCACTCGCTTGTCCCTAATCGGCAACTCAGCTGGCATTTGTGCCTCATGAGGATGGTCCGGGCCCTTGTAAACTTTAAGGTGGTTGAACAATGCTCTGCCAAGCTGCAAAAATACACCAAGCTGAGCAGTATTGCTGAAACGTACATACCACCTTCAAAACAACTCTGCAACTCTAGAAAGCCAATATTAAGTTGTTCAATAGAATTTTCTTTTCTTTTCATCAGTTGAAAACTTCAACACTTACCCGTCCTTTAGGAAGCATCCCACGAACAGCATGTTCAATGATCCTCTCAGGAATCCTTTGTTGCAGCTGATCAAAGGTCTCTATCTTCATACCACCTGGTCTTCCAGAGTGCCGCCTATATAACTTTTGGGTTCTCTTCTTCCCTGATACAGCAACTTTCTCTGCATTCACCTTGAAGCAGCCAAAGGTATATCACATCAGTTAGAAGTATCACCAGATAGTGAAATATCACAGCAGAGTGAGGTGTGGTCACATTAACAGCATCATTTTAGCATCCAATAAAGAATTGAAAAGTGAAATGTAAAATACTAAAATCAATTAATTGTGTCCATGACCATGAAAAGATTGATAAAAATAAGGTTTTGGGATGCAGATTGCACGGAACTAATCATCCATAAGCTTTTCAAGTCTGGTAGATTGCAAGAATCATTAGCATAACATCGCCAAGCTAACCAGAATAAGTATGAACTTTCATCAAACTGGTCACTGAAGTTGAAGCATGCAACACACTCCAATCCCAATATATATTTACATTCTGAAATGACAACCTTGTTAGTGAAGTTCATCAGGACTCACTTATTACCTACAGGGTTTTCTTAACCTCAAACAAATTTGATCAATGAGATATAGGTTCTCACTACCAAACATGCAACTCCAGCCCCATGGCTTCTAAAAGAAGATATTCCAGTCAATTTATAGCCTCACAATAGTAAATGTACTTTAGCTCTATCGAGAGTTGGTTCATCCCTTGTTCATCTTAATAATTCAGTAATTGAGAGAGGCAAGAAAGAGATAAGCATGGGTAAGCCAAGTAATACATACCACAATGACGAATGCGCCCATATCCACACTAGGAGTGTAGGTGGCCAAATTCTTGCCACGGATTTGAACAGCAATGGTCGATGCCAACCTTCCCAAAATCTTGTCAGTGGCATCCACAACGAGCCATGGCTTCTCTGTATTCACATGATCAGCTGCTTTTGGGTACCAAGTCGTGTTCCATATGTCCTTTGCCAAACCAACCAACCAAAACCAGGCAAATGAAACCAATCTTTCTAACTACCGAAAGAAACAAAGAGAACCCAAAGATTTCAAACTGTCCACCATTCAAATCAACAAAGATAGCGAGTTGAATTTTCTTACAGGACCGTCGAGTTCAGATTCTTCGAACATCCAGCGTTGGTCGAGTGGGATATGAGGGGGTTTCTCCTTCCTCTCCTTCCTCTCCTCCTCTTTCTCCTCTTCCTTCAACGCCATCCTGAAATCCCTAAAATCCCTCGTCATCCTGTAATCCATGTTGAAAGCACTCTTCTGGGAAGCAACAACGACCAATGACGACGCCCGCCGATGCTGCGACGACCTTGTCGATGCCGGAACAGAGAATCCGACCACAAAGGGACTGCTGATGTTACAGCTGGAAATGCTGCTAGGATTTACCGACGAAGAAGAAGATGGTGATGGTAAGACAATGGCGGACGAGCCATGTAGCAGCAGCGCCATGGTTTCTGCCTGCTGGGGTGAGTTTCCTTCCTTCTTCACCTCACTATCCCAAATTTTATCGCTGTCTTCCTTCGCTATATTTATTTCCTGGTTCGTCTCTCTATAGTCTATCCAGACTATCCTCTCTGCTCAATGGAACTGGATAACATTGAGGTGCTTGAAAAAAAGCTCATTCCTTCTCAATGGGCCTGGGCTTAACTCCACGAGGATTGTTGTTTGTCCTAAAAGCCCATTAAGGTTGTGCTTCCAAATTTGTTGATGGAAGAAGCCCATGATCCGGAGTGTAATCTGCCCTGGCTCAGATGCGCCCAATTTAGTTTTTAATTTTTATAATTCTTTTAACTCGATCTAAACTCTTCTCAATCAATTAAAAGTGAAATAACTGTCTTGTATTTATGAGCGAATCGATTGTGCATAACATATCAGATAAAGTTATGAAGATAACAATTTGAGCTTACCATTTCGCCAATAACAATAAACATATGAAAATTTCAAAAATTCATATCTTACGATTTAATTTGGATTTTGATAAATTAGTTGTTAGTAATTGATTTGTGGATTATATGCCCCATATTTATCTTAGTTGTACCTTTAGTGATACGAAGGTCCATAGAACTGTAAGCTTCGTAAAAGTCGAAAATTAGCATCCAAAATCTTGCTATTAATGGAGCAAGCCCCTTCTTGGATCTTCAGAAATAATATACCCACCCAAACCAAAGTGAAACAAAGGGCTCATCTTCAGCAGAGAGCGGAAGCCCGAGCGGCGAGCAGTTTGCTTGCATTGCTTTGCTGCTTCCGTTGCCGCACAACGGCACAAGCAACGTTTCTGCTGGCAGAAATCCAAATAAGAGAGCCACACTGTAATAAGAATGGCGCAGTCAACTCTTTTACTCTTGCACATCAATACCTCTTCTTCCCCCTCCATTTTCTGTCATTCACAATCTCCTAAACTTTCCCCCAAATTCGCCAAACCCCTCTCGGTCCCTCGCTTATTAACCGCCCGAAAGCAGCGATTCAGCTCTAGAATGGATCATCTTCACCCGCCTAATGCATTGCAAGGGGTCGTATCGGAGGCCATCGGCTTGTTACAGTCGCCTGACCCGACTTGGCAATCCGCTCTCCTCAACAATCTGCTGATCTTCGTGCTCGGGTCGCCGATTCTGATTTCGGGGCTTTCCCTTCCGGGAATTTCCGCCGCTTTCGTGCTCGGAACCCTCACTTGGCGCGCTTTCGGCCCCTCTGGGTTCCTCCTCGTCGCCGCTTACTTCGTCATAGTGAGTCAAACCCACCAAAACCCCGTTGATTCGTTGAAATTTTCCCGGGAAATCTCTGGGCTACTTGGTTTTTATGACGGGGGCATTTTTCTCTTATTTTAATGGGTGGGATAGGGTTGTGCTGTTGTTCGGTTCACAGGGGACTGGAGTTACGAAAGTGAAAATGGCGCAGAAGGAAGCTCAGGGTGTTGCTGAGAAGAGGAAAGGGAGAAGGGGACCTGGCAGTGTGATTGGTTCAAGCGCTGCTGCTTGTGTCTGTGCCTTCATGTCCATATATGGAATTGGGGGAGTGGAAGTTGCTCAGCTTTGGCAGCTTGGATTCGTTGCTAGCTTCTGTACCAAGTTGAATGACACCGTCTCTAGTGAGATAGGGAAGGCTTATGGCAAAACTACGTAAGTAATGACCTATGATATGGTGAGAAATTGTTTAGTTGATTTCATATTGGTTCAACTGCTAGTTTTTAGGTTCAAAGGTTGCATCTTGTCTGGCAGAATTTCGGACTAACGTACTTAGACTTGTTAGATACAAATAAGTTAGGTATACCAACGATAATATCGATGTGGCATCCAACAAGATGAAATTTTTCCTTAGAATTGTTGTCTATGTAATATGTCTGCTGTTATATTGGATTTTTTTGTCATCCGTTGAGGATGTGTTTATCTAGTTCTGCAACTTGTTCTTTTAGGTGGAGCCATCTTACTGTGATGCCTTTGTTTGGCTCCATTGTGCCTGTAGTTAATTCTGATTAATTGTGGTGGTATGGGCAGGTACCTTGTTACGACATTCAAGGTTGTTCCTAGGGGAACTGAAGGTGCTGTGAGTATTGAGGGAACTTTGGCTGGTTTCCTTGCTGCAGTGGTTCTTGCTTCGATTGGTTGTCTTATGGGTCAGGTACTGTTCACCTGCCTAAACTTCTCGCCTACCAAACATTAAACAAGTTTAAGTTCTGGTTTTGTAATTGAATCACAGATAACAAACCAAAGAATGTTAGCATAACTGCATGTCGTAATTATCAATAGGTACTGTTAAGTGTTTACTCATACCCTTCCCAATAAACCAATTTGAACCTGTGTACCCCTAATATGGCATAAGTACATATCCTCATCCTTCTCAAATTGTGTTTCGAGCGTAAAATATCAATAGGTACTGTAAGTGTTTACTCAAACCCTTCCCAATCAACCAATTTGAACCGGTGTACCCCTAATATGGCAGAAGCACATATCCTCATCCTTCTCAAATCGTGTTTCGAGCGTCTTCCATTTAGGGGCCATTTAAACTTCAAGTGTTCTTGTAGTGAGTAGGATGAAGTGGAGAAGCTCATGTGAACTTCAATGAGATATCATGTTAACCATTAACTGTAAGTAAAGCAGCACCGTTAGTGGATGAGACAACCAAAATTAGTTAAATGTGGATGTAAGGGAAACCTGAGGATAATAGGAGTGGGAATGACAAGGTCGATTAGAGGATTACTTAGATCGAGTGGAAAGGTGGGGTTATGATATCCAGCTATTAGGTCTCCAATAATCTTAGAAGTACTTCAAGAATAATCTTCTCTGGGATCATTAGTTACTTCATTACCTGTCAAGCTTTGTCTTACTCATCTGTTTTATCAAGCTTTCCTATGCAAAGATCTCTCAGTTGTTTCCCTAATCTTTTGTACTTAAAAGCAGATAAATGGAGCTGAAGCACTCATATGTGTGGTAGCCTCCCAAATCGCAAACTTTGGTGAGAGCATAATAGGTGCTGTCTTTCAAGATAAGGAAGGATATCAATGGGTGAGTAACTCAAACCATTCTGCACAATTTGTCATCGTTTCTCTCATACCAGCATGTTGCTTGGCCTTGTCTAATGACCCTGATCTTTATATGCTGTACTTTTCTTGTTTGGGCAGCTTAACAATGATGTGGTGAATGTGATTAACATATCGATTGGGAGCATACTAGCAGTTTTAATGCAGCAAGCATTGCTCCAAAACTGGCAAACATCGTGAACTTGTTTTCACCACCAATTGTTCCTCCTATCTCCTTGGATGCCTGGAAAGTGCTCCGCTAGTTTGCTTGTGCAGGAAGGTAATGGAGAATAGCCCCAACCGTTGGCCTAACTTAGTGATCATCTTGTATTCTTTTATAAAACTCGGTTTCAGGAATGTTGGCCTTCTGCAATTTCACTTGATTTAAGTAGAACTCTATTAGTCTTTGTGATGATTTCCTTGAGAGACTTATTTCATAACTTCACCATTTCAGAAAGTCATCGTGGTTCCTAATCGTCTAGGTCCTTTGCCTGGGCGGGTTAGTTGCTGAGTAAGCAAAACGGCAAGCATATATCATATAACAAGACCAGACGTTGTTCTAAGTAAGCTAACTGGGGATTTTATTATCCTCCTCTCAGCTCATTGGTGACAACTGAGAAGGATCTCAGAGCCACGGACGATCTGCAATCGTTGAGTGGATGCGTTGACAATTTAATAGCTGGGTTGTTGTTGATTGGAACTAGACGGCAAGAATGGCGGACAGGGCCCAGAAGTGAAGTTTATCAAACTAGTGAGTGATGCGTGAGAGAGAGCAGTAGACGTCGCATGGCATGCATGGTTATTGTCAATCATGCTGGCAATTGGCAAATGAGAATCATTTCACTTGCAGGATTGTCTTTTTGGGTGGCTGGAGAATCTATCATTTTCTTTCTCGACTAGAGTAGACTACTATGATATGGCTTTCCAAAAACGAACAGTCAATTCACTCTCTGTCAAAAGTTGATGATTCTGAACGAATGGTACTTGTAGTTTCAGTATGAGCATTGTTGTACCAACCCTATCCCTTCACATCATTGGTTCAACGAGTTTTGATTTATGCTTGGTAAGTGAGCATGTTACTCATACCACATATGTAAAAAGTTAGTCTTGCCGCTCAACTCGACTCTTAAATTTCATATCTCCTCTGGTTTGAATGATACATCATAAGATGTAATTGCTAATTGCTAGTCATTCTTATTTAGTGCAAGTACCATTTTTCTCTGTGACAAATAATTAAACTATATACATGGAGGCTACTTCGACTCGTCATAAATCTGACCATGCAAAACAAACGGCACACAACCAGGCTGATGCTGATACGCGTTAGAGAAATATTCTCCATGCCAACTCTCCAATTTCTTCTTTTACATTCATTCCCCCATATCGGTCCCCTATCATAAAGCTAACAAGTTACAGCCAATCCTCTCAGCCATTCCCCCACCATGCCATAAAGATTCAGTCGTTCCCAACCAAGAATGTTGTCACCATTATTGATTGATTGGTTGATGATGCTCTATACTATACGTGTTCCAAACCAGACACATCCCAGTACCCACGCAGCCAATCAATGTCGTTTCCCCATTTACATTCGTACACTCGCCCGAAAGTAATCATGAAACCAGAAAAAAAAGGGTCATTTACATAAACGCCACTAAATTTGTCTGGATACTTCAGATCGACATAACAACTCATCGAAATCAATAATAAGAAGAAGTGGTATGTAAAATTCGTGAGTAGCTATCGACCAAGGGATGGAGGGGTTAGGATGTGGTTTGGGTAATGTGGCTTGGATTTTTTGATCGAGTACAAGTTGTTAAAATGAATAGTATAGGTAATCTATAAATTAGTTAGAGTCTGTACAACGTTTTACTATATCTATTTAAAAAGTTTAGGCCCTGTTCATCATTTTCGTTTCCAGTTTTCTGTTTTCATGTGATAAATTTGGCAACCGAAATGAGAAAACTTGTTTACTTTTCATTCTGATTTCTATTCGTTTCCAACTATGAAAACAGAAAGTGGCAACTTCCTGCTGTTTTCGGAAACGACAAAATGTTGTTTTCACCTATTTTCAACATCTGTTTTCTAAAAAACAGGAAACAGAAATGAAAGTAAACAGGCCCTTATTAGCAATCCCAAAATTGGCATACTAATAGGAAGACTACACAGTCTGAGGGTTACTTCTTTTGCTACGAGAGGAGGAGGTAATGAAAGTGAGTGATCCTCAGCATAATAAATGATCAATTAACCTACATGTATAAAATGAGCTAACTACAATGGTCACCACACGTGACACGACTAGAAAATCTAAAGTAACCAAGGTTAGTTTTGTTACATTGGAAATCTTAAGTAACTTTTCCCCACTAAATGACAAGATTACCGACTTAATTTTGTTCTAATTGAAGTAGTTAGCGTCCAAATTCTTCTAAGTTCCATTGGTATTTATCATATGTGGATTGATATCTTGCCTATATCACTTCCCCTTTCGTCTTCTTATGGGTGGTTGGACCCAAACATCCTGTTGTCGAATTTGGAAAGATAGATGCAATGCAAGACTATCTATAGGTTTGCATCATTCCAGTCGCAAGTTTTGTGCAAGTAATCGACATCTCACAAGGACGAATGGAGAAATAGCGAACAAATCACTTACTTTTAATAACTCGAGTTGTTGTAAAAGGACTGTTAATTTTTTTTTATTTCTTTTATACGTCCTCTCAAACGAAAGCCAAACTTTTTGGATTTTTACAATTTGCACAAGTCGAACATGTCATCACTTGTGTGCTGCTAAACTATTAGGCTTTCAGTTTGCACAAGTCGGTCGTACAATCCCTTGTGCTAAACCATTGTTTAAATTTGAGTTGGGGGGCAGGGGCGGAGCTACCTTGTGTCTCGGGGGGGCCCCGGCCCCCCCGAGAATTTTGTAAATCGCGTGTAAAAATATCGGAAATTTTGAAAATTCTGAAGAAGTTAACTATTGTAGAATAACAATAACGTGCAATAATATGCAACAATGTTTGGGTCTAGTCTAATGGAATGTAGCTACTTGATATTTGTTAATACCTAGTACCATGGTTCAATCCCTGGCAGCAACATTGTTTTTTTAGTTTTCCTACTTTGGTTGAATTTTTGTTTAAAATTTAGATTGATCACTTAACTTTTATACTTATTCAAATATTTTTTAATTTCAAACTAGATAATGAAATTTTGGAGCTTATAATATTTTTCTAATTTAGATAATTAAATTTTGGAGTCTAGATAATTAAATTTTGAAGCTTATGACTCACAATGTAAATATTTTCTTAATTTTTTTTACGAATATTATACAATAAAATCCGGCCCCCCCGACCACTAGATCCTAGCTCCGCCCCTGTTGGGGGGTCATGAAGATTCGAAACCATGACATTTCAGTTCAAGGCTATGATACCACTTCAGCTATGGGGGGCCGATCCCCGTTCCCATGTTCAATCGTGTGCATGACTTAGTCGAGAACCGATTGAATCCAATAATTTAAGCTATTATGGAAATTTTATAAAATTGAATTTGATATCCCTACCTTTTCCTCTAAAAAATCAAATTTACGGGTCTTTTGAAGTTTATACAGGCCCATCATATTATGTACTAAAATCTCAATTGTTAATTTTGAGAGTCATCAAAATTTGAACAAGATACCTCTGGGTTAAAGATTTTGATATCATGTCAAGAATAAGTTGGACCCAATAACTTGAATTTGTAAAAGAGTTCAAAGAATATATACTATTTTCTTTCAAAAGATTACATACATGGCCAAATGATTAAGTTGTTGAACTTACACGAGAGATTGTATATTCTGATATACTCTTCCGTCAAATTTTTTTCCAAGACACATTTTTATTCAAAGTAAATGCGTGCCTGCACAATTTAGTTTGATTTGGAATCGGATCGAAAGTTGAGATACAATTCAATTGATAAGAACGATATGTGAGAATTTGATTTGATTTGATTTCAATTTATTTATTTCCTTAAATTGTTAAAACATGATATAAATCATAATCTATAGTTTGTTTACGGTTGAATTGAAACTAAATTAAGTGTGTAGATCGAGTTCATCTAACCAAATTTGTATACATTCGTCGAATCCATTTGTGATATGGGTCGGATTATTGCATAGCCTAACGGATATGCACATATCTCTCATCTGCTTTGTAATTTGTATTGGAGTGGTGGCGCGCAATCAATCCCATCCTCCATCTTCTTTGCTTGCACACATTGGCCTATATATGTTGGTTATGGAGCAGAAGGAAGTTTGAAGTTCAAAACAGAGAAAAGATCGATCAAGGTGCGTTATCAACGGGACAAAGCACTACCTTCGAACTAATTTGGTTGACTCTTTACATCAGATTGTTTGTGTTGGAACGTGGACTTTCACATGGGCATGGCTAACCCCTAGATGAGTCATAAAGTTTATGGTAATATATTATGGTTTGAGATGTGTGAAATTTAGTAATGAATTGTTGTTAGAATCATACCTAGACTTTTGTCTCTTGCACAAAAGTCTCCTGTGTCAAGCCAACTTAGAGTTGAAGTTGGTCTAAGGAAAGTGATTCATCACTAAACCAGCTTAATTGGTCAAACCAGCCATCAACAAGAGCTATATAGGTCTATAACCAAGATTGTTAGACTCGACTCAATTCGACACGCACCTAAATCGAAAATGAATTTCCAACCGGAGCATACTCTAATGAGCGAGCGAAGAGCAATGAAAGTTAACTCTAAATGATCGAATTACAATAATTCGACCAATCTACCAGAGTTTTTTTTTCTCATCAATCTACCAGAGTTTATACACTTGATAATCCACTTGTTTATAGAGTAGTAGCATAGGAACTTGATTGAATGACATTAAAGTTCAGGGACTTATACGACCAATACAAAAGATTTCAGGGGCTTTCATGACCTTTGTCCTCTAAAACGGAATAAAAAATGGACATTAGGGTCAGGGCTCAGGCCGTCAGGCGTCCTCTATCTCATGGCCACCTGTATATGTACGTCCTACTCGTCGCTGTCGTTTCGGTTCTCTCTCTACTATCAATTCCCCTTCGCAGTCTCCTTTTTAATTATTCCTTTCTTTTCAAAAACTCAATTTCGTGAAAGTTTTCTTCTCTGCTTCTTCTTCTTCTTAAACAAATAGAAGCACTCACATCTCCACAGCACACGCGTCCAGTCCAGGCCAGCCAGTTTCTGAATTTCCCACTGCAACAAATCCCGGAAAATCGCCGTTTCACTTTCCCATCTTCCAAACACCCTACTACCTACATTGCCTCCCCCCACCAGATGTCCGCGAGTTCGAGTGACCGGCGAGAGGTGCTCCTCAAGATGAACGGCGGCGGTGCTTCCCCCAACGGAACTCCTCCTCGTCCTCCTGCTCCGGCCCCGGCCCCGGCCGGGAACATATGGAGAGAATCTAGCTACGATTTTCTGGAAGGAGTGGATAGAGATAGGAAGAAGGAGCAGCATTCTGAGGGTCACGACGACGGGAGCGGGAGCTACAGATTCGATTTCAATCCGGCTCAGAGAAGCAGCAGTCCTGGGGAGAATAGGAAAGCAATTCCGGAGGAGGATCCGACGTCGAAGCTCATTGGACAGTTTCTGCACAAGCAGCAGGCGTCCGGGGAGTTCTGTTTGGATATGGACTTGGAGATGGCGGAGCTTCAGAACGGGAACAACAACGACGGGTTGCATCACCTCCGGCATCTCGCTCCGGTTTCCGAGTCGCCTGTGGCGGTTCACCAGCGAGTCTCTTTCGAGTCGAGCGAGTCGATAAGGAGGAGGCAGGCGAGCAGATTCAAGGAGTCTCCCGGGATTCAATCGAACGTTGGGAGCCCTGCTGCTGGTGATGGAGGAGGCGAGGTTTTGAAGTGCAGTTCCAGAGAAGGCGTTGGTTCGTTTTCTAGTCAATCGTCGTTTAAGAGGAAGTCCAATTTGTTCAAGGAGAAGACTAAGTCCAGGTTGATGGATCCACCGCAGCAGCAGCAGCCGAATTCGCAGCCGGAGAAATCAGGAAGGATGCCCGCTGCGAAGTCAGGGCAGTTGAAATCTGGATATGTAGGGAGAAGCAATCACATCGACGAAGAGGAAGACGATCCGTTGCTGGAGGAAGATTTGCCGGAAGGATTGAAGGAAAAACTCGGCATCTGGACTATCCTTGAATGGGTGAGCTTAATCTTACTCATTGCTGCTCTAGTTTGTTCCCTCACCATTCGGCTACTTAAGCAGAAGCACCTGTGGAACCTTCCTCTATGGAAATGGGAAGTAATGGTTTTAGTACTCATCTGCGGGAGGTTAGTTTCAGGATGGGTAATTAGGTTCATAGTGTTCTTCATTGAGAGAAACTTTCTGCTGCGTAAACGAGTTCTCTATTTCGTCTATGGAGTCAAGAAGCCTGTGCAGAACTCTCTATGGCTAGGGCTTGTCTTGATAGCTTGGCATTTCCTATTTGATAAGAAAGTTGAGAAGGAAACTGGAAGCAGGTTTCTTCGATATGTGACCAAAGTTCTACTGTGCTTAGTGGTGGGAACTTTGATATGGCTGGTGAAGACCCTCATAGTTAAGGTCCTGGCTTCCTCTTTCCATATGAGCACTTACTTCGATCGGATTCAGGAGTCGTTGTTCAACCAATATGTAATTGAGACTCTCTCCGGTCCTCCATTGATTGAAATCCAAAGGAATGAAGAGGAAGAAGGAAGACTTTTGTCAGAGGTGCAGAAGTTACAGAATGCTGGTGTTGATGTGCCTCCGGCTCTTAAGGCAGCAACATTTCCATCACCTCAGCCAAGCAAGGTGATTGGGAGTGGGCGGCTTCAGAAGAGCCCAAGAGTCGGTACTCCCAGGGGTGCTTCTGGTACTTTTGCTAATACATATAAGGAGGGTGATGATGGGATAACGATTGATCACTTGCATAAGTTGAATCATCAGAATGTCTCTGCCTGGAATATGAAGAGGCTGATGAACATAATCAGACATGGGGCTTTGTCGACTCTGGACGAGCAGATAAAGGATTCGATCCATGATGATGATGAATCGACCACGAAGATTCGAAGTGAATATGAAGCTAAAGCTGCTGCTAGGAAAATATTTCAGAATGTGGCCAAGCCTGGTTCTAGGTACAGTGTTTGATATAGATTGAAATACACTATTTGCCTATTTGTGTCGGGTCTTCTCTGTGCATGTGATTCAGATTTCTGGTGCATTTATTTGTTAGTCGATACTATATTTTTCAATATTAGTTTTCTGCTCTTGCTGACGCAAGTTGCAGCTGATGCTATATTGCTTTGTTTTATTCTGTTTTGTTTCTTTTGTTGTTTATGTTTTCTACTTGCGAGATCATCAATTCTGTTTCAACTAGATGCAGTGGTAGGAGTAATTCTCTGTGCTAGTGTAGTTTTTTCTGGATGTTTCAGTGAGCTTCCCATGTCATGGAAAATTCATTTTAACAGTCTGTTAGATACTTCATCAAAACCTTTGGGTGTCACTTCTCACTGAATCATTTGTTCCATTACTGTAGTCTGTAACAATCTCTGTTTACTTCTTCGATGTAGATTCATCTACTTTGAGGATCTTTTGCGCTTTATGCAAGAAGATGAGGCTACGAAGGCCATGAGTCTCTATGAAGGAGCTGCAGAAACTCAGAAGATCAGCAAGTCATGCTTGAAGAACTGGGTGGTATGAACCTTAGTGACCAGTTTATATTGTTGCCCTTGAACTAACTAACAAGGAATCTACTTCATGGTCTTTTCCTTTGTGTGTTTTCAGGTCAATGCTTTTAGAGAAAGAAGAGCGCTGGCTTTGACCCTCAACGACACGAAAACAGCAGTGAACAAATTGCACCGGATGGTGAACGTTCTCGTCGCGATCCTGATCATTGTCATATGGCTTCTCATGCTGGGAATCGCCACCACTAAATTTCTGCTTTTCATGAGCTCCCAACTTGTTCTGGTAGCATTCGTCTTCGGCAACACCTGTAAAACGGTTTTTGAAGCTATCGTGTTCTTGTTTGTGATGCACCCGTTTGATGTGGGGGATCGGTGTGAGATTGATGGAGTACAGGTCAGTCAAAAGCTAATTTTCAATTTCGAAGATGAATACACACGCACACTTACTGCAAGTAAGTTGGCAGTGAATACTAATATTTGTTTGTCCCATTTGGTTTCAGATGGTCGTGGAGGAGATGAACATTCTGACCACCATTTTCCTGAGGTTCGATAACCAGAAGATCATCATCCCGAATAGCGTCCTTGCCACGAAAGCCATCGGTAACTACTACCGTAGTCCGGACATGGGCGATGGAATCGACTTCTTCATTCATGTGGCTACTCCAGCTGAGAAGATTGCTGCAGTTAGGCAAAGGATCAACGCGTAAGTATTCGCCGTTAGAACACTCAAGTCTATACTAGTTTCATATCTGCATGAACTTATACATATACACCATTGGATCCTGGCAGATATGTGGACAACAAGAAAGAGCATTGGTATCCATCTCCGATGGTCGTACTCAGGGAAGCTGAGGATTTGAACAAAGTCCGGATTTCGGTGTGGCCGTGCCACAGGATCAACCACCAAGACATGGGGGAGAGGTTCGTAAGGAGATCACTATTGATTGAAGAAATGGTCAGAATTTTCAAGGAGCTGGACATGCAGTTCCGGTTGCTGCCCGTGGATGTCAACGTCCGGGCGGTGCCGCCAGTATCGTCGGAACGCGTTCCGCCGAGTTGGGCACTTGTTTGAGTTAGTGGAAGTAGATGTAGAATTCTCGAAATGAACATTTGGGGGAGAGACCCTCGGTTTACTTGCGGCATGTAGAAGGTAACTAATACTAGGCAATAAGCTCCTGTTTGTAGATGATTACATAGTTTAATGGTGGTGTATTTGCGGTGTTCTGCATATGGGGTGGCTAACTGGTTTCGATGGCTCTGGTTAATGGATTGGCCCAACCCTGTTTAATATAATAACCCTTTAGGTACGGATGGTGATCGGTTATTTGTGTTCTGTGGTTAATGTGGTAACGGTTCTCGGTTCAAGCACACTAATAATTGTGGTTAAATTATCAGCAAGCCAGAGTTTTTGGTGGGTTTTTTCTCGATTGATGGCTATATTATTGGAATCAATGGATTTCCAATTAAATCGTCTGCCATTTCATTGGTTGGCTTCTTATTGGTTATTTCGGTTTCTGATTCCGGCTAACCGGATGAAATCGGTTAGCCACCCTAGGCACACTCATCCGACGGGTCCGAAGTTGGCCACATCCAGCTCGCCTTGGGCTATGCTTACGCGGGATTAACAGTTGGGCTCAAGAACAAATAATTGGGCTTAGCGCCATTTGAGCCCAATCATATTTTGACTTTTCACAGCACATAAGCAGAACAATTTCAAATGCGTAAATACACCCTTCCCTTCTGGGCTCTGGCCTTCTCGTTTTACTCGACGCCCGTCGAGCGTCGACTGCCAATTCTCTTCTCGTCGCCGTGGCCGTCGCCGTCGCGCCAAATCTCCGCTGCATGTCCTACTTGCTATCCTCCTAAGACATCCGAGTTTTTCCAAGCTCTGAAGAGCTTCTGCTTTGAAGATTTCATTTTGTGGTGCCGTGGGAGACGAACGGTAAGATTTCATTTCATTTGGATCCTTGTCCTTTGAATAGCTTTTTTCCAGCTGATCTCGCCTGCCTGCTTATTGTGTACATAATACGGGAGAGATTGGCAATGGGAGGGTGTCAGTAGATGTTATAATTGACTGTTAAAGTTTCTGACGCCAAATATTTGGTGTTCAAGACTACAATTGCTGTATAAAGTTTCAATCTTTGATTTGATTCTTCGTATTTAGTTGATTGTGCTTTGAGGTGTGAAATCCTTTTATTACGGTTTGACTTATCTTATTGTATAGTTTGGTATTTGAGGTTCTTAAGGATGTACTTGTATTGTCAGACTTGCAGCTGCAGGATTGGATGTGGGTTTGTAGTATTCCATTCCTCTCCAAGATATTTGTAAAGCATGAATGACAGTAGAAGTCACAGCAAGAATAAGGATACTTCTGTAGCAGTAGAATCCTCTGGATGCAAAATTTCAATTGTGCAGGTCTTCTTGCTCCATACAATATGTGGACTTTGTTTGGGTATTGGATTATTGATTGCTCACCATTGGTACTCCATCCATCTTGTTTCTCATCCTTCAGGCACGATTTGCTTGATTTGGGTATGCTCTCTTTTTGCTTCTTTTTACATTTACTTTCTGATTCTGAAAGCATAATTTGTGTTTTTCTTATGTCTCGCTCTTGTCATGCTAGATTATCGAGACTCCAGCTGCACTACTTCTTTATAGTCACTTCCGAAGAGATACAGAAACATACTCGGTATTCCTCATCATTTGCATGTCTATGTCTTTTGCTCGGTGCTGCATGTCTGTCATTTGCTTTCTACTTATTTTCTCCGTTTTTACATGTTTTAACATGTGGAAACTGTATCAGTTGAGATGTTTAATCTTTACAGATCTTGCTTATAGACATATGAGAGATCATTCAGTTGGTTAGGATGTTTTACCAATGAAATGTTGGTTTATTTGTTCATTATTTTCAACATTTTTTAATTTCTTCTTTCTCCATCTCTTTTTCTAGTTCTTGAGGGCTGTTGGACGAGGCTTATGCGCTTTCCCTATTGGTTAGTGTTGATTTCTGTTCTTTTGTTTATATTCAATATCCAAATATTTTTGTTTTCTTCTACATGGATGAGGCACTAGAGATCGTGATAGTCCATGACATAGTTGTGTTTGCATTGGAATCTGTTTATATGTTGTAGACTGCACATGTCATTCCAATACAATGATCCTTTTTGCTTAGAACTAAATGTGTCCCTTAATTTTCGGTATTCTGTTCTTTTTGTTCCTCATTGATGTGCTGACTCTGTTGTGAGCCAAACCGTTGGTTATATTAGTTCTGTATTGTCAGAATCGTGTCACATGCTTATGGTTGCACTACCCTGAAGTATTTTAAACCCCTCTTTTGTGAAATATGAGCTACAAGATTGATTTGACGCAATAGGTGTAGAAATGAGCTTTTGTATGTCACTAGTGGTGGCCTCTGCAGAAATTAGATCAGTATTGACAGTAGCCATGTCATAAGAAGGATATAGGCATACTATTAGGCCTTAGATGGCTAGGTTTGGGGATAGAAGTCACTATCTTCAGCTGCCCTTAGTTAGGGTTCCTTTTTCTTATGTTTTCATTGTTATGACGTCTCTTACTTCCTCCCTCTACTATTTGATCTATACTGTGCTTTCTATATAAGAATATTGTTTGAAGTTTGAACACAGACATTTCTTGATATCTGTTGAATTATGTAGGAGCTTTGATCCATGCTGCTCTAGCTATTGTATTAGGCGCACCTGTTGGTTCCTGGTATGTAGTATTGTGTGGCTGAATAAACTGATTACTTTTCACATGGTTGTCCAAACAGTTGCCAGGGTTGATGTTAATCTTTGCTAGTCATTACCTCAATCACATTGATAATTCCAGTTCTCTCTTAACTTGGGTTATCCGTGAATCTGTTTTGATGATTGGGTCACGACTCTGTTTTTCATGTTGGTGATAGGTACTTGTTGAAGACAATTAATTGGTCTCTTTTGATGTCATCACTCACAGTGAGTAAATACAATCATTTACCCTACTGAACTTGTTATTATTTTTTTATAATCCTCTGTTAAGTGATGTTCTGAAGAATTTTCCCTTAGATTTAGTTCAACCTGTGAACTATATGGTGAATTGAATCCCAAATGCTATGACCAGTTTGGTAATATCATTGCGAGGGATTTTGTATATTTGCGCTGCGTCTATGAACAAAAAGAACATTAACATGACATCAATGGGTTTGGCTTTTTATTTTAGCCTTGCAAAACTATTATGCCCCACAGAACTTTCTAACAATACATGAGTTCAGATTGTCCCTGTAGCTTCTGTATTTGGTTCATCGTGGAGAGACTGGCAACGCGTATTTGCACGTACAGAGTAATCTTCCAATGCACTTTACTGTTCATCTTCTTGCCTAGGGTCTTAGCCGAATGTACATATAACTATGCATTTAGGCATGGAACTGAACCTTCTTGTATCACATGATCAAACCAAATGTTCTCTAATTTATAATGAGTTGATGAGAGATATTTTGGGGGCAGGCCAAATGATTTATTGGAATACATGCTTTGCATACCTGCACATGGCGCGGCGATTGGAGCTTGGTTGGGAGCTTGGCCTATGCCACTTGATTGGGAAAGGCCATGGCAGGTAAACTTTTGTGTCTGCATTTCCTTGTCTCTAAATGTTGGCTGCATGTCGAGCAATCCCGAGTTTGTTGTGAATACTTGTAACTAATATGGTTTTATGTGCTACACTGATCAGTTTAACTTTCTACATTATCATGAACACCCAATATGTCAGTTTGCTAGTAATGCAGTTTGGATTCGTTTTATCGCAGGAATGGCCGATATGTGTTACGTACGGCGCAGTGACAGGCTATGTGATTGGATTATCGGCGTCTTTCTGCGTGGCGTGCGCCAGTACTGGAGCAAGACGATCGCGTCAGAAAGGGGATTAGTGGCTGCTTCTGCTGGCTGACTACTACTGCAAAAGTTGGCAGGCGACTGAATGGATTAGGCTGTAAAAGGTTATCATCAAATTGCTGGTTCTGACAGGGTTTACAGGTCCTTGCTAAGTCAGTACGCTTCTCTGTTATTCCCGTACAGTACTTCTACTAAGGATGGAGATCCGATCCATTTAAAACTAAGGATGGAGATCTGATTATACAAGTTTGATGCCCTGTTATTAGAGGTGGCAAATGGATTGGATTGGTGGATTGGTGGATTGGATTGGTGGATTCATGGATCAAATGGATTGGATCTAATGGATTGGATCAAGTGGATTGGTGGATTATCCATAAATCCAAATGACATCCTCAACCAAGGACCAATATGTAAAATGTAAAAAGTTTAGGTACTAAAATGTCACAATGAAAAATTTTAGGTACCAAAATATAATTTTCCAATGATATATTTCGTATAAAAAATAAAATTTTAGGTACCAAAATGTAAAAAATAAAAATTATAGGTACTAAACTGTAATTTGCCAATGATCCATGGATCCAATCCATGAATCCACCAATCCAATTGGATTTGGATCATATGGATTGGATTTAAATGGATTGGATTAGGTGGATATTTTTAATGGATTGATGGATTGGATTGGTGGATTGGATTGAAATTGCCACCTCTACCTGTTATGTACCATAGAACCGGCCAAAATTGATCTGGAGTGTTAGTAATAATAAATTGAAGGGTTAATACCTTAGTTTGACACGAATTATAGACAAACTTTCTACTTTGGCTCGTGATATCGGAAATTGCTATTCTGGTCTGAACTATGTAGCATACTTACATATTTGGTTCGGAGGCGAGCTTGACCGTCAAATTAGTTGACCGTTAGTCAAAATCCAACTCACTTGCCACGTCAGCCAGCAGGTATTTTTTTAAAATTCTATATTTTGTTTACTTTCTAATAATAAAAAAAATAATATTATCAAAAATAATAATTTTTTATCATACTATTTTTTTTGGTGTGGAAGATGTGATGGACATTCTAGAATTTTTTTTTATAATATTAATTTTTATTATTATTAGAAAGTAAACAAAATACAAAAAAAAATTACAAGGAAACAAAATACAGAAATTAAAAGAAGAAATTTTTTTTATTCCTTGCTAGCTGACGTGGCAAGTGAGCTGAATTTTGACTAACGGTCAACTCGATTGACTGTCCAATTTGACGGTCAAACCCGCCTCCGAGCCAAATAAGAAAGTATGTTCCATAGTTCAGGTCAGAATATCAATTTCTGATACCACAGGTCAAGTAGAAAGTTTGTCTATAGTTCGGGCCAAACTAGGTATTAACCCAAAAATAACAATAATGATAATAAAATTGAACGTGCATGCCGCTGAATTTTTGGAATTTGGTTTCCCCTAATCCTCGCGTCTTAAATTTATTATTATTATTATCTTATTATTAGGGCATCTTCTTATTTTCTGTAATGTAGAGCAATGGAGCGATATATATGGATCTTGAGAGTTTTTAATTTTTATAATAGTAATAGATTGACGAACAAGGGATTGGTCTAGTGGTAATACCACTAGCCATGAACCTGGAGGTCCCAGGTTCGAGTCACTTCAGTAGTACCTAATGACAAAAAATAACCTATATCACCCTTATCTAAAAAAAAAATAGTAATAGATTGATCCCAAATCTGATCATATATTTTTTGAGAAGCTCACGATCATTTGTTTATTGAGTCGGGATTGGCATTACGTTTATCAATTCAATGATTCTTCGTCTCTTTTTCATAAAAAAATTTTCTTCATCTTTAGTAGGAATTCATATATATTAATGATGATCATAAACTACGAGATTTTCCCACTACTATATATATAATATTCTCAAGTGATGATATTTTAAATTTTAAATTAGTCGAATTGGGTTGAGTTTGACCTAGCTAATTCGTGTGTAGTTTGTTAAAAGAGTTTGGCCCGTTTATTGAAACCTTAACTCGTATTTTTCTCTACTTCCGCTCATCAACCAACTTCCTAACCCAACTCAACCTCAACTCATTTATCATTCTAAAGAATTGCTAAACCAAACTCTAAAATGATTTATTAACTAAGTTATACAAATCAACATATGTTATCTGTTGGGGGCATACAAGGAAGGGCCCAAGTAAAGGGCCAAAGTGTCACCGTGGGCCGGGAGTGTGGGTCTGGCAAGGGGGAGACTCGGTCCAAGAGAGGGCTAGAGGCCATGGCCCAAGCAGTGGGACCAGGTCTAAGGTAGGGCGCATGACGACAAAAGGGGGGCAACGGTCAGAAGCGTACGGAGGAGACAAGGGGTGGGGCCATGCGCCTCCGTGGCGCAGGCCGGTGTCAGAGTGTCGGGGCGCCTGTGGGGAGTAATTTACAGTGCATTTAATGAGGTGATGACGTGGGGCGGATTTGGGGGGCATTGGTCGACCCTACCTCGAGTATAGATAGTGAAGTGGGTGGAGCTCATTTACTCAGGTTCCAACTTCTCTCTAAAACTTGCATCTTACTTCTCTCTCTAGAAGGCCCGTTCTAACTTGGGCGTCGGAGTGCTAACGAGCCCTTACTCAGAGGGCTCGGTGCACGCCTTCGTGTGCAGGAGACAGGCGTGGAGACAAGGCGCTGACGAGGCACGAGTCGAGCGAGGACCATCCGAGGCGGTGAGTGTACGTGGCACAAACATTATCCTTATAAAAAATTAATAAATTGAATAGCCCTAATGTTCATATGTTATATATAATATGTGTGACTAATGTCATGATGAAAAATACATCATTAATTGATCTCATGTTTCTATCAGTATCATATTTTCTACTTCATATCTTGTTATATAATAGTAATTAAAATCTAAGCAATCTATGATTTATAATTTATGCTTTTATGTTATATATAAAACATATATGCTCACGTCAAAGCCTGAAAACATCATATAATAAACTTAGGCATCATCAATAAGTCAATTTATAAACTTAGGAGTGTTTCTTAACAAAAAAGAGGATAGAGGAGTGAGCTTTATACATCTGTGCTAAACACTCACTAGCTAGGAGGATGACAGCTTTAATCTCAAGGTTGGTGAAAGTGAACCCGATCGAGGTCGTTGTCCTGATGAGATTCAAGAAAGCATCAACCATATCTTCCTTCCGCCACATGCAGTTTACAGATCTCTGTCATCGGTCGAAATTAATATATAATGCACTCCACCAAGATATCTAGGTTTAGATCTGATACGCATTAATTCGAAGGAAGAACAAATATATATTATCCTTATTATGTGATCATAATGGGTCATGACTCATGCGTTCATGAAATGGAGGGAAGAACACGTTACGTTGAAAGCTGCCCAGTCGCATGCGGTGGAACTATAGAGCTAGCTGCCCAAACATGTTTAAAGCTGCCGAATCGTCACGCCACTTCTTTCTCCAATTAGCAACATCGAACTCAATCATTCCAAGCAATTGCTCCTCGACAATGTATGGATAATGTTTTCAGCTTCAATCGACTACTACAACAACGTACGGTTTCTTGGATTCACCGTACAGCTCACAGAAAGCAAAAGGATTTTAAAATATGTGGTCTGGTCTGGATAAATATCTAGGGTTAGATCTCTGTCTGTCGAAATTAATAATGCATTCCACCAAGATGTCTAGATTTGGATTCAAATTATAGGAAGTATAAATAAATATATATTATCCTCGTGTCATCATGGTCATCAGGGGCGGAACTTGGAAATGGAGGAAGAACATGTTTAAAGCTGCCCAGTCACATCCGGAAGCACCATGATAGCCGAACAACGCAGTAATAAGACTCACAAGCAGTAGTTCGTAATGCAATCGGACTAAAGTTAAGAGCAAGTTTTGCAATAAACTGGGCAATTTTGTAAAAGCTCCGAACAACAAAAGAATATCGATAAGGAATTTAGTATCATTCATAACTAGGTACGTATATGCTCAGTTACTATATTCAATTTGAGATCTGATGTATTTCGTAGACACGTTTGTTGTTATTTGATCATAATAAAATTAAAATCGCACCGAAAACTATGATACATCTCGATCAACTGGTATTATCATATAATAAAAAACCGGACCGAAAACTATGATCAGTGGCGGATCCAGGATTGGGTAGAGCACTGGGCCACATTGGAAAAAAACAGAGAAGGCTGGGCCGTAACACGACGAACACTGAAACGAACACCTAAACGAACACCAAAAATCGAAAATTTACACGTGCTATACTAGCTCTGGATCGAGGGAGGGCTGGGCCGCGGCCCGGGGGCGGCCCCCCCCCCTAGATCCGCCGCTGACTATGATACATCTCGTTGAACTGATACTATCATATAGCTTTAGTGAAATTTGCTATTTATTCATAGGTTTGGATATTGTGTTTACTGTTCCTACTCCCTTTTCTTTATATATAGTCTGTCTGCAGTCAAGATTGATGAAATCTCGTACTTAACATATCGAGTTTCACTATCATGTTACCCGAGATAAGGTTTTGTCTTGTTTAATTGAAGTACTTCATGTTAGGAATGGCAATGGGCAGGTCCGGGGCGGGTATCTTGATATCCATACCCGCCCCATGGCAGGTCGAGTCCAGGTCAGGTAATTTATCACGGGGCGCGGGTCGGGGCAGGTCGACCCATTGGGTATGTAATTTATGTGAAAAACATTAGAAATATTCGTTCTTTTCATTGAAAGACCAAGAAAGAAATCATAATATGATATAATGTAGTTAAATTATTGAAGAAATTGAGGTTTTCACTTATTTACAACTTTATTATAGCTAAAATATAATGTAATAAGAGGAAAACCTTAAGTAATTTCACTAAGATTATATGTAATTTAGGCAAGAACGGGTCGAGAATGGGGCAGGTCAGGTCGATGAGAGGTACCCATGCCCATCCCGCCCCAAAACAGGTCAAACAGGTAGGGTAAATCGGGTCTGGTCGAAATTGCCATCCCTACTTCATGTTTCTGCTTCCAACCAATTGGTGGTATCAAAACTTGTCAAAATAGATATCCATACTCAAATTTGAGGGGATGTTGAGGATATGAAATAGAATATTAGTCTAAAACTCAAAAACAATATTTAATCAGTTTATGATCTATTTTGTAAAAATGATTGTTAAGAGATATATAAATATTGTATCTAAATAATATTGTGAACTCTACTGATTCATTTTCCGGAATTATTTGGTTATCCACCCGAAGGGATGAAACAACGCCTCGAGACCCGAGTAGGGTACAATACAGGTTATAACCTAATTGCACAAACTAACAAAAGCTTTATTTATTGAATGAAGAACAAAACATAAGCACCCCCATCACTCAGACAACCTCTCGCCTTAATGCTTACTTCACACATACGCACTCAATCTAAAAGAGACAGACTCAATTAACTCACTGAAAGACTCAAAACAACAACATCCAGCTGCAAAACTAATTAAGGCAGTATGGAATGGGAATGAGGAATAGATTGTTTTTTCTTCTGACTTCCAATCCAAATTTTTCGGACATATCAAAATTCTGAGGTGTGATGTCGCTCGGGAGCTTCCAATCAAAATGATAGAGTAAATTAGCCAGCACTAGATTAACGTGAGCTATCCCGTAGTGCATGCCCGGACACATCCTTCGACCCGCTCCAAATGGGATAAAGTGAAAATCTAGTCCCTTGTAGTCTATGGAAGTGTTGAGGAACCTCTCCGGGTCAAAGGTTTCAGGTTCATTCCAATGCCTGGGATCTTGACATATGGCTCCTACGTTGATGATGATTCTTGTCTTAGCCGGTATTTCATATCCATCAATCACCATTGTCTCTCGACTTTCTCTTGGAACGGCTAAAGGACCAGCGGGGTGCAATCTCAAAGTCTCTTTTACAACTAGTTGTAGATAGTGTAGTTCAGCGAGCGATGCTTCATCCGTCACTTTTCCTTTTCCGTCAAACGCTCGTCTCACCTCTTTTTGTGCCTTTTCCATCATACTCGGGTTCTTCATCAGTTCAGACATTGCCCATTCTACGGTAACACTCCACGTGTCAGTTCCCGCAAGGAATATGTCCTGAAAATCAATATTTATTTAACATTATTATTATATTGTTTGCATAAAAACGTACGAGGACTATAAAGCAGATGCATGTAATATCTACTGAACACTCACCAGGATGACAGCTTTAATCTCAAGGTTGGTGTAAGTGAACCCGAGGTCGTTGTTCTCCTTGAGATTCAAGAGAGCATCGACCAGATCTTCATCGTCATGTTCTGCTGAAGATCTTCTGGCTAAGTGGTCGGTGATTATAGCTTCCATGATGGCATCCGCTGCTTCGTGAAGCTTGTTCAGTTTGGCGTCGAATCCTGTGATGAAACGCAGTAGCTTGCTGGAAGGGAACACGTCCACAAGGGTGAACCCTCCCAGCTTCTTAATGATCTGTTCCATAAATGGTAAGAAAGCTTTGACCTTTTTCTGATCACTAGTCCTCCCAAAGGCTGCTCGTACAGTGATGGAGTTCCCCAGGGAAATCAGCATTTGAGTCACATTCACAGCTGCATATATATATATATATATGCATGCAAAAGATGCACCAATGAATATCAACAGTAATAACTCATGTCAGGTGTAATGGTAAATTGCTTAAAGCAAAAGGAGAAAGGAAAACAAAATAGTACTAATTATGAACTATTTTGTTGCAATAATTCTAGTGGTTTAAGAGAGATTCAATAACGTCTCATACCACATATTAACATGCCCTCTCAACCGATAAAGGCTTGAAGTTTGCACAGATAATCCGAATATCAAACACAATGTTTTGTTGTCACATAAGGTTCCGATACAATGTCATTAATTAACCATTAGATATCAACAAATCAAATTATTGGGGGAGATTCCATCGTTACCTTGGCGGCCGGTACCACGGTAGTGGTCGTCGGAGGATTTAATGATGATAGATCTCACCAGCTTACTGACCTCTTCTTCCCCAATGGGCCGGAAAGACTTGACACGTTTGGGGCCCAGCAACTCCGTAGCACAGATCCTTCTCATCTTCTTCCAGTACTCGCCGTAAGGCGCGAATCCAATGTCTCGGCCGCCGTACAGCACGATGCTGGCAGCTGGTAGCTGTGGTCTGCTGGCGAAGTTGGCGTCGTGGGTCTGCGTAAACTTTTTGGCCCATTCTGGGGAGGACACCACGACGCAGGAAACTTGGCCCAGCTCGAGTCGCATCAGAGGCCCATATTTCTTGGCCAGGTCCGTCAGCCGGCGGTGGGGGAGAGACGGGCCGACCATCTGGTGCAGATTCCCGATGATGGGCAGCGTCCATGGCCCTGGGAGTTGTTTTGACGACTGCGAGGACGACCTTGTTGACCTTTTCAGAAGGAGGATTACCGATATGAAGAAAATGGTGAGGATTAGTACTATTTGGTTGGTGGCCGCCAAGGACCAGTCATCTATGGCTAGTTTATCTTCCATACTACTGACTTAATGAGAGAGAGAGAGAGAGAGAGAGAGAGAGAGAGAGAGAGAGAGGGAGAGAGAGAGAGAGATCTACAGCTGATTTGCATGCACTCCCTCACTCTCTTTTTTTTTTTTTTCAACATATACCCATGTGTTAAGGAGGTGTGTCAAGCGACACACCTCCGCCCGGATATTTTGTGAGAGACCCATGTTTTGTCGGCATAATTTTTTGGAATTTAGAACTTTCGACACACCTACAATAATTGTAAACGACACACTTTTAATACACTACGATGAAATTGGTGTCATAAAAGTTTCCAAAATACGTAAATATATATTATTTATTTTAATTTTTAGTTAACTTATGACAAATTTGGGGTTCTTTCCATTGGTTAAGCATTTAGAAGCAATGGTTTATTGCTCTTAGGTCTTAGGCAGGGGTAATCGTAAGGAAGTTTTCTCCTTTTTCTCTCTACCTGAATAAGTTTCGTTTCTTCTTGATCCTTGTAACTTTCACGTAGTTGTCCACCTAGTGACAAAAATGCTCTTTCATCGAGAGTCCAGTTGCATATGAACTACTATCTTATAAAAAAACCCTAGTGTTCGCTTTACCTCTATCGATCCCACTTCTCGTTGTTTTCACAGTAAAATATAATTAAAAATTATTTATTATTTTATTTAATTTTATCGATTGACACACCTATATGAGAATCCTGGGTCCGCCACTGTGCAGTCCCTCACTTACATTACACTACACGTACGTTTTATACAGTATGTTTGGGGCAGATTTTGGCAGATGGTCTGATTTCAAGTTATACATGTAACTCTCTCAAGTTTGTTAGTCTCTGTTTGTTTTTTATTCTATCCGTTGCTTGCAAGTGTAGAAGGAACCTTTGCCGTTTTGAGCTACATTAAAAGTAAGTTTCAAATTCAAAATAAAATGGAGGACTAGTTTATAAATGATTGTTTTCTGGGATAATATCAAAAGGGATTTACTATAAGTGAGGCATTTTGTAATAATTTTTTATTTATTTATTGGTATATTTATATTTGATAAGAAAATAGAATTTGTCCTCACTTCTGGCCAAGGTTGTCGGCCCGGTTTAGCCAGTTGATTTGATACAACAAGTAAGTTGAGAGTTAATGGTTCGACCGCTTTAGTTAGGATATATATAAAAAATCATTATGTTGTCATACATTAAATTATATCAAATCTCATTAACATATAAATAATGGCATATAACATTACATCAAATAACATGTTGTACTAGTATCCAACATATAATGAAAATTCACACATTCATATAACATCAATATTCAAAGGTTGAACTTAAATTTCAAAGATAAGGTTAGCCAAAGCCAAGAGAAAAATTAGAAAAGAGATGCATTTCATAATATATATAAAATGAAACCTCCAACCTATTAATCTTACCATTGATTGACCCACAGGTATGTCACCCACTTTCTTATCGGATAGGTATAAAACGGATCAACCCACGAATTAATACCCCATCACCTACCGCAAACACAAAGAGATAGTATGAGAAAAAACTCACAGCCATAATTAATTTGGAGAGCACGTTGGAAAAGGCTGATCAACTTGTTCTGAACTAATCAAGGTCACCCACCTAGCTATATGATATCCTTCCACGTGATTGTCAATAATTATATATTCTTCACTGTTATTGTATTGTATGTAGGTTCTCCATGTTAAAGATAAGGTGCATAGTTTTTGTTACTGAATTTGAAAAATGAAAACTTTAGTTAAAATGAAGGTTTTAGAAAATAAAAAATTTATGATGGATTTGGATTATTATATATTTCAAAATTTTGTTGTTTGAGTGAATTTTAAGATCATTTTAAAGGATAATTTACCTTACCATCCCCATTTCATTTATTTTAGATATGATGACAAGACAACTTGGATCGTTTCATGTACTAAAATTATTATGTGGTTCGAAAGTCATTTAGTCATATACAATCCACACTCAATTTATGGCTTGTAAAAAATCCTTTTAGAAATCACCGACTATCACATATCAAAAATTACAATTTCAAACACCTTAAGTATCAAAAGGAATCAACGTTAATACACTAATTTTTAAAAACTTCCTAAACATTACATGGAAAGGAAATAAACCGTCACTCCTTTCACAAATTCGTTTGAAACTAATTGATCTTGATATAGTAACAAAACTTGATTTGAATGAAAGCTATTATAATTATTTTCGAACTTCAGTTATCCTCATTTGTAAAACATGGTATCTTATGCCTGTGCAAAATTAAAACTCTAATTAGTAGATTTTCATTTGAAATGACGTGTTAGTAATGGTATATAATATATAATTGATATTTTCAAACAAATCGAGTTATCCAAACACAACTTATCCAGACGATCGCTCAATCGATCCGACGATTCTGACCCTTAGCTCCTTCAGTACTCCTCTTATTTAACCCTATGGACTGCCTCCTTGTTTCCGAATCACCCGACCCTTTAAACCCATTTTAAGTAAAACCACAATATACGTTTTTATGCATTTGCAACCGGCAGAATCGTGATCAATCACCTACTTTTAGTGACGAAATCTGATACATCAATGACCAAAAAGAATTTTCAACCATTTCATTTTCGGTCGCAAGACCATAGAGTTTGGTGAACTATGTTGTAATTTGGGCAGTAGCTTTCTCCCTCTGTTTTTAAAACCGGACCGGAAGCTGAATCGAAATAGTTAGTGGTTCACGGTTCACTGATGAAACGGGTACTAGGATTAGTGACGAGAATATGACCAAAACTGCAACCAGAGTTTCCGTACGTAGGTAAAGGCCAGGGCAACCAAAATGTGAGGATTAGTTACCATCACTGGTTCTCTAAAATGATTCTTTAGCAGTGATTTTTTTTGTTGTGATATTAATATCAGAATGAAACTAGACTCATAAAGAAGGAAGAGTTAAGTTGGGAAATTGTATAATAAAAAACACACAGGGGCCTAATTAGATAAAAGGAAACTGTGGTTTATTAGTAAAGCTGAAAAACCACACAAGGAACATGATGAAACAGACTACTACAATGTAGCTGTATCCGAAAAACACAAAAGCGAGGGAAACAAGCTAGCTATGAGTTTCAAAAGAACAAGCAGTAGTAAGTACTGGAGCTGGAGACAAACATTAATTAGAACCAAACATGCAAATTGCTACCCTTTCAACCGGAACTAGATGATAATAATACATGTAAAGATTAATTGGTGTGGCATTCAAAGCGGCACAGGATGGGCGAAGAGGGAAGCAATGTGTTCCTTGAGAAGATGAGGGTGAGTGTAGGCATCGCCCTTCCCATACATCACGCTGATCACCCGAGCCAAGTTGAGAGTCGGAGACATCACATCTATGGGAACCGGGGTCGGTCTCTGGCAATACTCTTCAGCAATGTCTTTCCAAGCTTTCGAAATCTCTCCCCACAGAAAATTCGCCGACACCTCGTCCGAGACATCATGCTCCACCATAAAACACTCAACGGCGGACGCCACATGCATCCTCTTTCGCTCGAACTGCATTCAGGCAGGCATATCAAACTTCCACATGTTCATTCAACTAAGTTGCATTCTTATAGCAGAGTTAGAGTAAACGTTTAGCGTACGTGGTGAGACATGATGTCGTTTTGGAGCCTGCAAATGGCAGAGGAGGCTAAGACCATCTTATTGGCCTTATGGGTTACCCAATCAAAGGCCTCTTTGGTTGCAGCTGCTTCTGCCGGCAGCCCCAACAATGCAGCCGTGCAATGGAAAGGATAGCCACCACTTACGTTTGCATCAATCAAGTACGCCTCCAGAGTTGGAGTATGACTCTCAGTGCGCCACCGGGCTTCAGCCAAGAAGGCTCGGCACATATTCTTGAACTGCATGCAAGTAGCAAGAAGGACGACGATTGTATGAAAAAATTTGATAACATACACATTAATAAAATATTAATTAGAACCAATTAAAACAACTCTTATTTAGTCTCGAGGTCTTTTCTATGACGAGTGATTGTTTCGTCGCAAAAGAGATGTACATCGATTGATCATCGCACACGCTAAGGTTGTTGATGGGGGGTTCAAATGAAATATTTACAAAAAAAATCACCTAGGAAATACCATTTAGTACCTACATTTCTCGACTATTATTGCACTATAGTACCTAAACTGAGCTAGGGTTATTGGAAGGGTGCGCACCTCTTGTATAGAGTAGCCAACACCGTAAGTGGGTCCAGTTTCTGGAACTGCCTGCTCCATTTCTTTGAAGAGGTTAATGATAATGGCCTGGAAGATGTCCTTCATCGTGTCGGGAAGTGATTCCACGTCACTGATATCCGCCCTGTACGTAGTTGAACACAATTACCAGCGTCCGCCGTGCATGTATATAAATATAATGCACGCTTGGAAAGTGGATTTATGAAGGCATGTCAATTAATGTCTCTAACCTACCTGTCGATGGCATCCGTGAGGAGTTGGAGCTCTTGGTATTTACCAAAGTTATCATAGACGTCATCAGCGAGGGTGGACACTGCTCCACACTTGGCGAGTATAAGCCTTCCGACACGGTACTTGGGCTCGAAGTAAGCGCCATTAATCCAGAAATAGCACTCTGCAAGTCTATCTTTTGCATATGGGAATCTGGTCTTCGTTTCGAGACTTGCCCACCACCTATATATATAGTAATTAAAGAACGCACGCGCGGTATCGTTTATCAGATAACAAAGGGTATGCCACCCTAAATTCACAGGAGGTAAATGGTCTACCCTAAGAATGAATGGTATGTTAGGAAAGAAATTATGAAGCTAGCTAGCTAGCAAACTATATATATGACAACTTACATTGTGAGTTCGCGGAGCTCTTCCTGATGGCATTTCTGCACCACGTTGAAGTCCAACTTTGCAAACTTAAGGATTACTGCTCGATCATGGGAGGCGTGGCTGTGGAATTCGGAGTAGACTTCAATAGAATGCCTAGCAAGTATCCTGGGGATGCATTTCCATATGGGGAGGCTGAGAGAAAACTCGGCTTGCTTCCTGAATAACGAAGAGGGCTTGTGATCAAGAATGATTGACTTGAGGTTCTTGATGGTGAAGCCTAGGGCATCGTCCAATATGTCTTCTCCATGGAATGCCACATGTGCTGCCTCGTATAAACTAAGCAGCCCTTGCTCATCCGACACTAGCGATTCTTTGAACTTTCCTTCATCGTCCTTGAACATCCGAAATCCATCTACACCTCAATCGTCATATGATCTTAGTCACAACTTTAATTTCTTCGAAAAGCTAGCTTATTTACAGACTCTTGAAAATTCATTACAACAATTATATTTGAGAAAACACTAGTCGATCGAGACATGTACCGGCGGGGGAAACACGGAAGCCTTGTTGTCTGAGAAGTCGGAACCAAAGAGCCGCATGGTTTAGCTCAATATTATTCGAGTGTTTTTCAACGAATGATTCCCCTCCAAGAACATATACAGTTCCAAGAGCTTCTTCAATCTCCGCCTCAAAGTGATACCCAACACCTAATCGTTGGATTTCATCGACCAGCTCCAGCTTTTGGATTATGGCGACCTTGTCCTTGTCATTGTCAACCCCCGCTGTCACCATCCTCCTCACCTCTTCCTTCATAACTTCATAATCTCCAAGCTCATGATCACCAGCTCGATTCTCCTGTACAGGAACAAAAGCCAATGTAAATTTAAATTAAATTATGAACTCTGTCAATGTACATAAATATGTAGATGGTTATATATGTGTAAGTAGGGTACCTGCAGATCAGTATTAGCGGCGGCGGCAAGGAAGTGATCCCCCCAGAGGCTGCGATGGAATACAGCTGACTGCATCCGATCCTGCACTGCTGCTGCTTGCTTGCATGTGCATGGGGAGCCATGAGCCTTCACAAGTACATTGGATTGACCTCCAGCCATCGATCGTTCGTACGTTGGTTGATCAGCTGTACGTTTTGCTATATTTGGTAAGCTATATATATATTGATGCTCGAAGGAAGGAGAATGGTTGGTTTGGTGGTCAATGAGTGAGCAGGGTTGTGCTCATTTATATATAGAAGCAGGGGCCTGCATGCCGTACGTTGCCATGCATGGTTATTATGACTAATTATTATCACCAAACCGACCATTCAATTGATCCCTCCCAGTTGACACCTGACAATCTAGCTGGCTTAATATCCTCCCTCCTGGGCTCATATTACCACCCTCAACTAATACATGTAAAGGGAACAAGGGATTGATCCGCTGGCCGGTTCTGCCGTTAGTTTTGCACTTGAAGTTTTCAGTTTTGAATCTCTTAGGTAGCACGTAATAGTGAAAAACAAACCCATATCACCATTATATATATATATATATATATAATATAAAAAAACTAATACATGTACAAATTTGTAATAAATTTGAGAATTAACTCTTTTACTAAAGTTTTGGTGCTTGAAGGTATAATTAAATAGGATTTGTACTATAAAGCTATAAGTTCAGTTTGTACTATAAAAAAAAATTTGTGCATTTATATTATGGTACAAGTTCAGTTTATATCATAACATAAGTTTAAAAATTCAATTTCTACCGAAAAATAATTTGTACCTTTGTATTATGGTATAGATGAAGTTTGTAATATAAACGAATTTTAACTAAAAGGTACGGTTCTGTAAGAAAAGATAAATTTAACTAAAAGGTATAAATATAAATTTAATTTGTAAAAAAAATTCGTAAAGCTAAACACAGATACTATAAAATATTATAAAATTCATCTATAAATATATAATTGGTATCCTTTTAGCCCCTCCCCAAGTAACACCATTAAAACCCTAAAGCTTGAATCTTTTAGCTCCTGGCTCACTCAAAGTAGTACTCTACACAGGCAAAGCCAGGTGGTATAAGACTTGACACCCTCGTGGGAACTCGCAATGTTACCATACTTTATTTATTTTTTAGGTACATCACGAATAAGGTTGAAATTGGATACATTGAACATTTACGAAACATTGCCTCGTAGCCTATATATTAATGTAAGCTCTCGTTTGGAAGTTGTAATTGTTTTTATGAAATTGTTATTATACTTGCATTGTTTAAAATATATAATTTTTCAAATATATTTTTCATACACAATACATGAGTTATTTCAATGATTGTGACATAAGATAACATTTAAAATAAGTGATTGTTATATCTCACATTTTAATTAAAACTGTTGAGATAGTTGAATTGAGATTGTTTTACCTAATAGTTTAGTTGATGTGACATACACAATATATCAAATTTATAAATACATGTATTCACAACAATATACCTGTTTAACAATCACAACTTTGAAACTACCTATTTTAAGAGTATAGAAAATAAATTTATTTTACGCAGCTTTCAGAATATGAAAACAGATTACGAGTATGTATGAAAGTAGAACTCGTATTAGTTGGATATTCCTTTTTACGATGAATAGATAAGACTAGCATATTACTAAAATATACTGTTATAAACGCGCTGCTATGGATCGAGAAATCGCTGGAATCGAGATGTAAGAATACGAAAGCGAGAATCGAAAACATGACACACGATTTACGTGGTTCACTAACACGATGTGTGTTACCTAGTCCACGGGCGAGAGAGAGCCAGTTTCACTATATCAAGAAGATTACAGATTACAGAGGAGATGAGAAGTATCCATGTGGGTCTAAACTTAATCTAATCTGGCAAAGAAAACGGTTACAGACCAGGCCCAGAACCTGAACTCATATAACATTGAGCCCATACACCACGGGCCGGGGGCGTTGCCCCTGGACCCCACTCGCTAACCGGGCAGCGAGACCTCCGACTATTACAGTCATAACGACTATAGTCCGATTCAAGTCACATCAACATATACTCCAGATAATTTGAACTTTGGATATACTTCGTTTTACTGCTAGGAGAATTTTAAATATGCACTGTGAATCGATATTTAGAGTTAGATCTTTGTCGGTCAAAATTAATAATGCATTCCACCAAGATATCTAAGTTTTAAACTTTAAACCTGATATGCATTGAGGGAAGTATAAATATATATTATCCTCATCATGTAGTCACATGGGTTCAAATGGAGGAAGAACATGCTCAAAGCTGCCAAATTGCATGCGATGGAGTAATACAGATCCGGTAAAAACATATTTTATACAACAAAGGCAGAGAGGAGCACCATGCTCAAGGCGAAATGCACCGGAGCTCTTGCCGTGGCATAATCGGACTTTGAGTCAATTGGTATATCTTAAGATAAATTAATAATACAAAAACAACTTTAGGTTTAAAAAAAAATACATAAATGAAACGCTTAATTTTGATGCTTTACTAATACGGTATTATTTTTACTTCCATAACCAAACACAACGTGATTTCATATTTTGAAAACATCATAAACTCATTCGGGGTCTACAATATATTGAGCACATCCTATACCAAATGTCTTCTTCTTCCAGTTCCAGCAACGGAAGCACGAGACATCCATTTCAACATGTTCTCCGCCTGAACTGAAGTCCGTTCACTATCTTCGATCCACGCCACTTCTTTCTCCAATCTGCGACATCATCAAACTCAACCGTTTCATGCTTGCTCCTCAACATTTAAAAATGTTTTCAGCTTCACTGCCTTTGGTCAATGGTCATCACATGATCTGCAACTTGCGTATGTGCCAGCTATGTTGCCGCTCCACTACTTCAACGGATTTTTGGATCCACCATACCTCACGAAGCAACTTGAAAAAAAAGGCATGCATGGGATTAATTTGACTTGTGAGAATTAGTAGCTACTTAATTATATCCCTCTAAGTCTGCATGTCTAGCCTTAGATATTCACTAATCTGGTTTGGTCAAGCCTGATCGGGTTATAGAGTCAGTTTGTCTGCATGGTTAGTTTAGTGTTGGGTTATCTTTTGATTTTTTAAGGGTCGCGCAAGTCAACTTAGGATCAGATTACTTTTTGTCGCTATGACGCATATTAACAATAAGTGATATGAAATTGCTCATGTTAACATATTAGATCCGTTTGTAAAGTTTTAGGGACAAAAAGTACGTACCTGAACTTGCTTGAACATGGCAGCGGCATGCAAAACGGTGTTCCCACCTTCATCTCCCGACCTGAAGATCGATTCAACCACATCCTTCTTCCCGCCGCTACTGACCATCATCTCAACCAACACCTTCAGGGCCTCCAGATGGCCGCACTTCACGCACAGGTGCAAAACAGTCTCTCCACCGTCCAGCTTCACAAGCACAGACTCCGGCCTCGCACCGACCAGCTCTCTCACGACGTCGCTCCTGCCTCTCATCGTCGCCAAGTGGAGAGGAATCCTGCCGTCCACGTCGCGAACCAGGCAGGCATCCGAGCCCACACCGCCTGCAGTGTCCAACAACGCCCTGACGAGCTCCACGTGGCCGGCAGCGGAGGCCAGGTGGAGCGGGGTGCAGTTGGACGCGTCGACCTCCCTGGCCATTCGAGGTTCGTGGCGGAGAAGCGCTCTAGTGAAGTCGAGGTGGCCGGCGAGGACCGAGATGTGGAGAGGGGTTTCGGTGAAGGAAGAGAGCGGGAGTTTCTTGAGGATCAAGGTATCGCTCCGGAGCAGGCCTTGGAGGGTTTCGGTGTCGCCTCTCATTGCGGCGTCGTAGAGAGCCGTTGCATCGACTTTGTTGGTTGGGTTGATGATCTCCATTATATTGTTTGCTTGTTCTAATGGTGGCATTGGTGGCTCTCTAGCTAGACAATGCATGCATGGTCTTTTATATATAGTGCCACCTAGTTCATCGTCACGTGGGGCACAAACAAACAAACAGACAAAAGGGGGAAACAAGTTGGAAGGCAACGGCCAATGGGATTCACCGGCCGGTTGTAGAGGAATGGAACCCGCCGCCGTGGGATCCACCGGCTGCGGGAAAATGTAACCTAGCTATGAGGTGCATGGTATTTTATATAGCCACGTGGGGTACAAACAAACAAAAGGGGGAAAACAAGTTGGATGCCAAAAGCCAATGGGATTCACCGGCCGGTTGTGGAAAAGTGTAACCTATGACGTCCTGCATATTTCGTCTGATATAGTAAGTAAGTAAGTACAGCTTTAAGGCAACGTTGACGACGACGAAGACTTCACCCGAAAATATAATGCTTACTATAACACCATAGGTTACAGCTTTAAGACAACGTTGACGACGACGAAGACTTCAAGGGATTTTTCCCACCCGAAAATATAATGCTTACTATATGTTGATCGTTGCGTAGAGAAAATCAAAAAGAACTTAGAACGAGAAGACACGGGATTTACGTGGTTTCCTTGTTCGATAGGGATCGAACAAGACTAGTCCACGGGAGGGTCGTAGCTTTCTTATTTCACTTAATCACCAACGTTTCCTGTACATTGCATATATATACACTCGGCATCACCATTAACCCTAGCCGATCCTATTTTGACCTAATGGGCCAAGCCCTTCAACATAACAAGGCTTTTGGCCTTTAGGCCGTATCATAATACTCAACACCCTCCCCCAAATTGATGGGGAGTTCTCATCATCAATTTGCTCGCCAAGAATGAATGTCGAGTAACCGTAAAGGCCTTGGTGAATAAATCTGCAAGTTGATCTTCGGAAGCAATGTAGAAGATACGAAGAGTACCATCACGAACCAGATCACGGACGTAGTGGATGTGTACCTCTATATGCTTCGTGCGATCGTGAAGAACTGGATTAGTAGCAATGCGGATGGCACTGGTGTTGTCAACGTAGAGTTCCATCGGGGTGACACACTTCACACCAAGATCGCCCAATAAACGATGCAACCACTCGAGTTCTGATGTCACATCAGACATGGCGCGATACTCGGCTTCGGTGGAAGATTTAGAAACTCGGTCCTGCTTCTTACACCTCCAAGAAATAACCGAAGACCCAAGACGAATACACCACCCCGTAGTGGATCGCCGCGTATCAACGCAGCCAGCATAATCAGAATCGGAGAATGCCTGCAGAACAAGTGATCCCTGCGACGGAAGATGAAGACCCACATCTCTGGTACCCTGTAAATATCTCAATATCCGGTGAACAGCAGCTAGGTGGTCCGTACGTGGTGCAGACATGAACTGACTAACAATCTGTACAGCGTAGGCAATGTCTGGGCGAGTAGAAGCAAGATAAATGAGGCTGCCTACTATGCTGCGATACTGTTTCCCACCGTCCGGCAAAAGATCACCAGAGTCCCTCCCCAACTTCAGATTAAGCTCAATGGGCGTAGCAACTGGAGTACAGTCACCATGCCGAGTAGCTTCTAAGAGATCATCAATGTATTTTCGTTGACTAAGCAGAATGCCAGATGCAGATCGAGTTACCTCAAGACCCAGGTAGTACGAGAGCGAGCCAAGCTCCTTGAGGTTAAATGATTTATGTAGTCCCTCCGTGAGTGCTGTGATGCCCTCGGAATCATCACCTGTAACAATCATATCGTCTACATACAACAGCAGTACCACCAAGCCCCGAGCTGTCTGACGAGTGAAGAGAGAGTGATCGTTGGAACTCTGAACGAACCCCAAACTCAGGATAGTAGACTGGAATTTGTCAAACCAGGCGCGGGGAGCCTGCTTCAACCCATAGAGAGACCGTTGAAGTAGACATACCGAATCAGGCGGACCGACGTCATATCCCGGGGGACGTTCCATATAAACAGTCTCCTTGAGCTCCCCGTGCAAAAATGCGTTCTTGACGTCGAGCTGAAACAACGGCCATCCACGGAGAGCCGCGACCGCAAGAAGAGTACGTACTGTCACCATCTTTGTCACCGGGGCAAAGGTTTCCTCAAAGTCCACCCCGTACTCCTGTGTAAAGCCCTGGGCGACAACCCGAGCCTTAAACCGCTCGATAGTCCCATCCGGATGAACCTTGATCGCGTACACCCACTTGCTGCCAATAACCGGGATCTCAGGTGGAGGACGTGGAACAACTACCCAAGTGTTTTGGGCATGAAGTGCCGAGATCTCCTCTGTCATTGCCCCGTCCCAATGAGGGTCGCCCTTGGCCTGCGAGTAGCGAGTAGGGACTTGGACCGGAGCAACCTGAAATGATACATAGTCCAGAAATCGAGCAGGAGGCTGGCCCAGAGTTGCGCGCGTGGAACGGCGGGGAGGAGCAGGAGGCGAAGCAGCCGGTGATGAGGAGGAAGCGTCGGATGATGCTGGGGACGAGGGGGCGGGAGACGAAGCATCCGAGTGGGGGCTTGGCGGTGGGTCCATGTCGTAGAAGTGATCACCATCATCATCGTCGTCTGGGAAGGAAGGAAGGGCCAAGGAAGTGTCAAAGATAGGAGTAGACTCAGACGGGGTGGAGTAGAACATGAGGTTCTCGAAAAACACTACATTACACGCTATACGGATACGACGAAGGGAAGGATCATAACATAGATAGCCCTTATGAATGTCACTGTAACCTAGGAATGCACATTTCGCAGTCTTAGAAGTGAGCTTAGTGCGTTCAGATTTAGGAAGGAGGACGAAGCACAGGCAACCAAAGACACGGAGACGAGAGTACGGAGGATGTTTAGAAAACAGCTTGAAGTACGGACTTTCCTGACCTAAGACCGGGGTAATCTGATAATTGATGAGGCGAACAGCAGTAGAGACTGTTTCAGGCCAGAAAGAAGAGGGTACCCGAGAGGCCAAGAGAAGTGCTCGAGTAACCTCCATCACATGACGGTTTTTCCGTTCCACAAGGCCGTTTTGCTGCGAGACTCCAGGACAAGACTTTTGGGAGAGTATACCTAGGGAGCGATACAACTCGAGAAGGGGAGTAGAGCTGAATTCTCCTCCAGGATCAGACCGGACTACATGAACAGTTCTATCGAATTGGGTTTGAATCATTTTAAGAAACTCAGTAGCTATGGCTCTAAGATCAGATTTTTGACGCAAACAATAGACCCACGTATATCTGGTAGCATGATCAACAAAGAGGGCAAAATACTTATAACCATGACGAGAAGTAACAGGACTGGGACCCCACAAGTCTGTGTGAATCAAATGAAAAGGTTCACTAATGATGGTTTGACTCGAAGGGAAAGAAATTCGAGTAGTTTTCGCCTCCACACAGCTTGTGCAAGAAAAATCGGACAAATGAGGCACATTATTCCCAAATAACTGTTTCTTGAACATAGTACCTAACCGAGAAGAATTTGGATGTCCCAACCGGGCATGCCATAACTGAAAATTACGGTCACCGAGACTCGAAAAAACAGACCTAGACACCGAAGGACTTGAACGACACGAGACTGCAGACGATGACGAAGATGATGGAAGCTTGCCGAGTTGCTCCAAGTAGTAGATCCGCCCACTCTTGCTACCCCTGCCTATCTCCCGCCCCGTCTTCAGATCCTGAACAGAGCACCCAGACGGTGCAAAGACAACACGACAACCACTCTCAGTTAGTTGTCCAACAGAGATCAAACTTGGCACAAGTTTCGGAACATAGTACGTGTGAGGTAACTCCAAATTTTGTTCTCTAATTGTCCCCATTCCCGCAACCGGTATACGTGATCCATTTGCTACTTGTAATGAAACACCATTAACTGGAGATAATTGTGACAGGCTAGATATGCTATTCGTCATGTGATTAAAGCATGCCGAATCAAGAATCCAGCGAGGAGACTTACCGGAGACTTGCATACTAGCAAATGCCGAGGTGATGGCCTTATTGACGAGCTGCTCGAGATGCGCTGAAGTCACCATGATTCCTTCAGTTCCCGGAGCCGCCTCCGTGACATATGCCGGTCGAGAATCATGGCCAGCCGCTGCTGTTGGAGAACGCCACTGGCCTGCATGACGAGGAGCGCCCTGCGACGAGCTGCTGCTACCGCCGTTACCGCTGCCGTGAGCTGGACGCGGAGGTGCGACTGGACATTCAGGGACTATGTGACCTGTTTGCTTACAGTAGACGCAGAAGTTCCGGCGTCTACAGTACTTCTTGGTATGCCCTTTGGCATGACAGTGGAAGCACTCCACTTCACGGCGCGCCGTCGACGGAGACCTGTAGGCAGCAAAAGCAGAATCCCCAGCTTCAGAATTGTCGCCGCCCTTCCCAGCAGAATTCCCAGCTGCAAAAACCGAGGGTTCGCCATTACCAGGTCGCGCATCAATCCCGGCTTGAGTACGAAGCCGAGTTTCTTCTCGGATAAGTGCACTGAGGACTTGTTCCAATTGGAGACCCTCGCGATTAAGCAAGGTGGATCGCACAGCCTCATATTCCGGCTTCAACCGTGCCAAGAATTGAAGGGTGCGAGTTTTTGTTTTCTCCGCCCTTACCTCGGCTGACGCAGCGCCGGAGAGCAGTGCCGCCGAGAGGAGATCCTGCTCTGTCCATAAGAGTTTTGCCGCATTATAATAGGTAGCAATATCTTTGTCTCCCTGATACAGATTGCCCAGCTCCACCTCAATTTCGAACTGGCGAGCAACGCTCGTCGTAGCATACGTATCCCGTAACGCCGCCCACATCTCAGCTGATGTGGGAAGAAGACGCAGCCCCAAAACGATGGATGGATCCACCGATTTCAGAATCCATGATCTAACCCTTGCATCCGATTGCATCCACTTGGTTACCTCTTGATCGGTGGAAGGAGGAACAAGTGGTTTCGTTGTAGTGCCTTCCAGAAACCCGAAGAACCCTTGTCCTTCGATGAACGTCCGAAATTGAAACTCCCATAAAGCGTAGTTCTTCGAGTTGAGACGTGCATTGATGCTGTCCGAGTCCATAGGCTCTGATACCATGTTGATCGTTGCGTAGAGAAAATCAAAAAGAACTTAGAACGAGAAGACACGGGATTTACGTGGTTTCCTTGTTCGATAGGGATCGAACAAGACTAGTCCACGGGAGGGTCGTAGCTTTCTTATTTCACTTAATCACCAACGTTTCCTGTACATTGCATATATATACACTCGGCATCACCATTAACCCTAGCCGATCCTATTTTGACCTAATGGGCCAAGCCCTTCAACATAACAAGGCTTTTGGCCTTTAGGCCGTATCATAATACTCAACACTATAACACTAAAATATATATACCTTCGGAATCTACTTTTTTCTTTCAAATCAAGAAGGCTCCTGGGAAGCTGTTGGACGCTACTTTTGTTGACCGTGGATGCCGTCCCAAAGATACTTCCTGACCACCAGCACATTCAGGGGCGGAGCTACTTAGAGGATAGGCCCATCCGAGAATAGTCTCGGCCCCTACGACTGTAAGGATATTTAGATAAAAGTTGAATAAGTAGTACTCGGCCTATACATAGTCTCATGAATAGTCATGTGGTCTACTGATAGCTAAGCTAATTTTTAGTTTGAAGTAAACAGGTTCGATCCACAACAATTGTAAACCCATTCCTTGTTTTTTTTTTTGTTACTTTAATCCAACTACAAATGAAAAAAAATCAACCTCTACTTAGTTCATTTGGGAATTTTAGCTCTCTATAGAAACTATATGATCTTTTTTTTTATCTATGTCGGGATCAATAGAAATATGATTGTCCAAGGAATTCTATTTTGTAGATAGGTTGATTTGTCTTCTTCAAACTCTTCCAGTTTTTCACTGCTACATGTGATCTTGCATATTTTTAGGTATAAAGATAGTGAAGAATAGATTGCGAAACAAAATAAATGATGAGTTTCTTGTTAATGATTTAGTTATTTATATTGAAAGAAAGATAACTAAAATTTTTAGTTTAGATGCTGTTTTGTGATATTTCAATGATCTCAAAGGATGTTTGTATACTTTAAAAATAATTAAAATAATTTTTTACTTTTATTTACATTTAACTATTTTCGGCCCACCCGGTCTCAAAATCCTGGCTCCGCCCCTGAGCACATTGGTTTCTGCGACGAAAGGTATCAGCTCGGCCTTGTCCCAAAAATATACAGTCGCCAAAGGGTCGGAGCTTCAAAACCAATATTGTCAGATCCGAATCGGAACATCACCCAGTATCGTGAATGGTTCATACTTTAGTAGTTCAACTAGTATTAGAATATTAAAAAACCATTAGAGAATTGATACCTTATTATCGGTAAGATCATAAATAGAAGACATATAAAGTAATAATTAAACAATTTTATGGCTAAAATGAAATAAACTTTGCAAGTATCATTTAGTCATTTGATAATTAGAATATATAAAGCGCCTAATTGCTTAAGAGGTTTAGTCGGGCGCGGACGCGTTCACTGTAATTATGAATTTTTTATTTTAGACATTCTAACTCAGTGTTATTTTATAATAAAACTGTGTATAACGAGAAAAATGATTCATATGAACATATTCAAATCACTATTCTAAATTTGGCTTAGAAATTATAGCTCCAATGATTCTGGTCTAACAAATAAACAACGAAACCTAAAAGACTAAAAGAAATATGAGGTTTGTTCCCTTGAAAATTTAATAAAGCAGCTGGTGGAAATAGGATAGACGCACAATTGATTTGTAGATTGATTAGTCTAGTCTTGACGTTGCCCCTTTCAACAACTACTACGTAGAGAACCTTTTCAACAATGAAACATGTGAAATCTGATTTGCGTGCCTTAATGAGCAATGAGTTTCTCGACTGTTGCTTAACAGTTTATTTGAAAGAGAGTACTCTATTTTTATGTATGTAGACTCCATTATCAATAAATTCGCTAATAAAAACACCGTCGTGTACAATTGACATTGTATAAAAAAATATGATTTTTTTTTTATGATATCTAATTTTCTAACAAAATGCGATCTAGTGCTCTACTATGTCCTCTATCCGTCGCTGCTCTGGGAAGCTGTTGGATGCTAGCTTTTGTTGATTTTCTCTTCCAGTTTCTTGATCGACCCTTGCTCCCATCTCAGGTCGTACATATATGCGGCACACTCTCATCATTAGCTTGTGTTTGTTTTTATCATGATCCAAATGGTAAATCAGCTTGTTTTTGGACTCGAAAGCTTCAAATTCAGATTCTAATTAATTAGATTCACATTTCGCGACGGGTGTGAACGCTAAAGGTCTCAAATATTAGTTGCCAATCAAAGTTCCGTCCCAAGGATATTTCATGACCACTGGGGAATTGGTTTCTGCGACAGAAAGATATTAGCTGTTCCGAAAAATATACCGTCACTAAAGGGTCGGAGCTTCAAAACTGATTTCATTCTGCACTTGCAGAGTACCTTTGCCCCGGTGGACGAACTGAAGGAAGCCGTTGGAGTGACGGCCGTAGAGGGTACGATTCGGGATGATTTCTCCGAGGGAGTTTATATCAATATAATTTTCAAACTCACTTATTTGATTTGTAGATAATATCGACATTGTTATACAATGGGGATTTAACTAATTTAGTTAGCCTTTCGGGTTTGGAATCTATACGAACTTATCAGCTGGTTTGATATGTGGCTTGTTTGCTAGTCTATAGTGTTGACGTGAATTACTCTATTTTCTAACTTAAGTTTACACATGAACTCAACAAAACAACATTATACAAAAATTATACATGTGGTGTCGAATAACACGCTTTAGACAACATAACTTTGGTCCCGATCCCTTAAACAACAGGTCAAATGGTCAATGCTCTTTGCTAAGACCTTCCACGACTTAATCGAAATCCATATGAAAAATCGAAATAATAATGTGACGACGAGCAGACTAATCACTAGAAACAAACAACAACCTGCAGACTCTCAGAAGAAACAACGTACACCACCATCAAGACTCGAACTCGTGCATCTTACCTAGTCACTAACCCAAACCCTTGCTCGCCCAAATCAAGATAACGTACCCTCTAGACAACAGAACAGGTCGAGGCTCTTGCTCCGGCCTTCTTTTTCTTCTTCTTCGAAATCCAAATACAAAACCGAAGCGTGTCGAGCAGACTGATCACCAGAGACGACAGCAACCAGGCTCCCAGAAGAAACGCCACCACCACCGCGACTCGAACTCGCGCATCGTTCTTCGTCGGGGTCACCAACAACGCACCAACCGCGAAAGCAGCCGTCATGCAGCCGAGGGCGGCGCACATGGCTTGCGCCATCATCCAGATGAAGAACCTTTTCCTGAGCGGGAACCCGCCGATGATGAGAAGCATGACCCTTTAAACCCATTGGACTGCCTCCTTGTTTCCGAATCACCCGACCCTTTAAACCCATTTTAAGTAAAACCACAATATACGTTTTTATGCATTTGCAACCGGCAGAATCGTGATCAATCACCTACTTTTAGTGACGAAATCTGATACATCAATGACCAAAAAGAATTTTCAACCATTTCATTTTCGGTCGCAAGACCATAGAGTTTGGTGAACTATGTTGTAATTTGGGCAGTAGCTTTCTCCCTCTGTTTTTAAAACCGGACCGGAAGCTGAATCGAAATAGTTAGTGGTTCACGGTTCACTGATGAAACGGGTACTAGGATTAGTGACGAGAATATGACCAAAACTGCAACCAGAGTTTCCGTACGTAGGTAAAGGCCAGGGCAACCAAAATGTGAGGATTAGTTACCATCACTGGTTCTCTAAAATGATTCTTTAGCAGTGATTTTTTTTGTTGTGATATTAATATCAGAATGAAACTAGACTCATAAAGAAGGAAGAGTTAAGTTGGGAAATTGTATAATAAAAAACACACAGGGGCCTAATTAGATAAAAGGAAACTGTGGTTTATTAGTAAAGCTGAAAAACCACACAAGGAACATGATGAAACAGACTACTACAATGTAGCTGTATCCGAAAAACACAAAAGCGAGGGAAACAAGCTAGCTATGAGTTTCAAAAGAACAAGCAGTAGTAAGTACTGGAGCTGGAGACAAACATTAATTAGAACCAAACATGCAAATTGCTACCCTTTCAACCGGAACTAGATGATAATAATACATGTAAAGATTAATTGGTGTGGCATTCAAAGCGGCACAGGATGGGCGAAGAGGGAAGCAATGTGTTCCTTGAGAAGATGAGGGTGAGTGTAGGCATCGCCCTTCCCATACATCACGCTGATCACCCGAGCCAAGTTGAGAGTCGGAGACATCACATCTATGGGAACCGGGGTCGGTCTCTGGCAATACTCTTCAGCAATGTCTTTCCAAGCTTTCGAAATCTCTCCCCACAGAAAATTCGCCGACACCTCGTCCGAGACATCATGCTCCACCATAAAACACTCAACGGCGGACGCCACATGCATCCTCTTTCGCTCGAACTGCATTCAGGCAGGCATATCAAACTTCCACATGTTCATTCAACTAAGTTGCATTATTCTTATTTCTTATATATATATAGCAGAGTTAGAGTAAACGTTTAGCGTACGTGGTGAGACATGATGTCGTTTTGGAGCCTGCAAATGGCAGAGGAGGCTAAGACCATCTTATTGGCCTTATGGGTTACCCAATCAAAGGCCTCTTTGGTTGCAGCTGCTTCTGCCGGCAGCCCCAACAATGCAGCCGTGCAATGGAAAGGATAGCCACCACTTACGTTTGCATCAATCAAGTACGCCTCCAGAGTTGGAGTATGACTCTCAGTGCGCCACCGGGCTTCAGCCAAGAAGGCTCGGCACATATTCTTGAACTGCATGCAAGTAGCAAGAAGGACGACGATTGTATGAAAAAATTTGATAACATACACATTAATAAAATATTAATTAGAACCAATTAAAACAACTCTTATTTAGTCTCGAGGTCTTTTCTATGACGAGTGATTGTTTCGTCGCAAAAGAGATGTACATCGATTGATCATCGCACACGCTAAGGTTGTTGATGGGGGGTTCAAATGAAATATTTACAAAAAAATCACCTAGGAAATACCATTTAGTACCTACATTTCTCGACTATTATTGCACTATAGTACCTAAACTGAGCTAGGGTTATTGGAAGGGTGCGCACCTCTTGTATAGAGTAGCCAACACCGTAAGTGGGTCCAGTTTCTGGAACTGCCTGCTCCATTTCTTTGAAGAGGTTAATGATAATGGCCTGGAAGATGTCCTTCATCGTGTCGGGAAGTGATTCCACGTCACTGATATCCGCCCTGTACGTAGTTGAACACAATTACCAGCGTCCGCCGTGCATGTATATAAATATAATGCACGCTTGGAAAGTGGATTTATGAAGGCATGTCAATTAATGTCTCTAACCTACCTGTCGATGGCATCCGTGAGGAGTTGGAGCTCTTGGTATTTACCAAAGTTATCATAGACGTCATCAGCGAGGGTGGACACTGCTCCACACTTGGCGAGTATAAGCCTTCCGACACGGTACTTGGGCTCGAAGTAAGCGCCATTAATCCAGAAATAGCACTCTGCAAGTCTATCTTTTGCATATGGGAATCTGGTCTTCGTTTCGAGACTTGCCCACCACCTATATATATAGTAATTAAAGAACGCACGCGCGGTATCGTTTATCAGATAACAAAGGGTATGCCACCCTAAATTCACAGGAGGTAAATGGTCTACCCTAAGAATGAATGGTATGTTAGGAAAGAAATTATGAAGCTAGCTAGCTAGCAAACTATATATATGACAACTTACATTGTGAGTTCGCGGAGCTCTTCCTGATGGCATTTCTGCACCACGTTGAAGTCCAACTTTGCAAACTTAAGGATTACTGCTCGATCATGGGAGGCGTGGCTGTGGAATTCGGAGTAGACTTCAATAGAATGCCTAGCAAGTATCCTGGGGATGCATTTCCATATGGGGAGGCTGAGAGAAAACTCGGCTTGCTTCCTGAATAACGAAGAGGGCTTGTGATCAAGAATGATTGACTTGAGGTTCTTGATGGTGAAGCCTAGGGCATCGTCCAATATGTCTTCTCCATGGAATGCCACATGTGCTGCCTCGTATAAACTAAGCAGCCCTTGCTCATCCGACACTAGCGATTCTTTGAACTTTCCTTCATCGTCCTTGAACATCCGAAATCCATCTACACCTCAATCGTCATATGATCTTAGTCACAACTTTAATTTCTTCGAAAAGCTAGCTTATTTACAGACTCTTGAAAATTCATTACAACAATTATATTTGAGAAAACACTAGTCGATCGAGACATGTACCGGCGGGGGAAACACGGAAGCCTTGTTGTCTGAGAAGTCGGAACCAAAGAGCCGCATGGTTTAGCTCAATATTATTCGAGTGTTTTTCAACGAATGATTCCCCTCCAAGAACATATACAGTTCCAAGAGCTTCTTCAATCTCCGCCTCAAAGTGATACCCAACACCTAATCGTTGGATTTCATCGACCAGCTCCAGCTTTTGGATTATGGCGACCTTGTCCTTGTCATTGTCAACCCCCGCTGTCACCATCCTCCTCACCTCTTCCTTCATAACTTCATAATCTCCAAGCTCATGATCACCAGCTCGATTCTCCTGTACAGGAACAAAAGCCAATGTAAATTTAAATTAAATTATGAACTCTGTCAATGTACATAAATATGTAGATGGTTATATATGTGTAAGTAGGGTACCTGCAGATCAGTATTAGCGGCGGCGGCAAGGAAGTGATCCCCCCAGAGGCTGCGATGGAATACAGCTGACTGCATCCGATCCTGCACTGCTGCTGCTTGCTTGCATGTGCATGGGGAGCCATGAGCCTTCACAAGTACATTGGATTGACCTCCAGCCATCGATCGTTCGTACGTTGGTTGATCAGCTGTACGTTTTGCTATATTTGGTAAGCTATATATATATTGATGCTCGAAGGAAGGAGAATGGTTGGTTTGGTGGTCAATGAGTGAGCAGGGTTGTGCTCATTTATATATAGAAGCAGGGGCCTGCATGCCGTACGTTGCCATGCATGGTTATTATGACTAATTATTATCACCAAACCGACCATTCAATTGATCCCTCCCAGTTGACACCTGACAATCTAGCTGGCTTAATATCCTCCCTCCTGGGCTCATATTACCACCCTCAACTAATACATGTAAAGGGAACAAGGGATTGATCCGCTGGCCGGTTCTGCCGTTAGTTTTGCACTTGAAGTTTTCAGTTTTGAATCTCTTAGGTAGCACGTAATAGTGAAAAACAAACCCATATCACCATTATATATATATATATATATATAATATAAAAAAACTAATACATGTACAAATTTGTAATAAATTTGAGAATTAACTCTTTTACTAAAGTTTTGGTGCTTGAAGGTATAATTAAATAGGATTTGTACTATAAAGCTATAAGTTCAGTTTGTACTATAAAAAAAAATTTGTGCATTTATATTATGGTACAAGTTCAGTTTATATCATAACATAAGTTTAAAAATTCAATTTCTACCGAAAAATAATTTGTACCTTTGTATTATGGTATAGATGAAGTTTGTAATATAAACGAATTTTAACTAAAAGGTACGGTTCTGTAAGAAAAGATAAATTTAACTAAAAGGTATAAATATAAATTTAATTTGTAAAAAAAATTCGTAAAGCTAAACACAGATACTATAAAATATTATAAAATTCATCTATAAATATATAATTGGTATCCTTTTAGCCCCTCCCCAAGTAACACCATTAAAACCCTAAAGCTTGAATCTTTTAGCTCCTGGCTCACTCAAAGTAGTACTCTACACAGGCAAAGCCAGGTGGTATAAGACTTGACACCCTCGTGGGAACTCGCAATGTTACCATACTTTATTTATTTTTTAGGTACATCACGAATAAGGTTGAAATTGGATACATTGAACATTTACGAAACATTGCCTCGTAGCCTATATATTAATGTAAGCTCTCGTTTGGAAGTTGTAATTGTTTTTATGAAATTGTTATTATACTTGCATTGTTTAAAATATATAATTTTTCAAATATATTTTTCATACACAATACATGAGTTATTTCAATGATTGTGACATAAGATAACATTTAAAATAAGTGATTGTTATATCTCACATTTTAATTAAAACTGTTGAGATAGTTGAATTGAGATTGTTTTACCTAATAGTTTAGTTGATGTGACATACACAATATATCAAATTTATAAATACATGTATTCACAACAATATACCTGTTTAACAATCACAACTTTGAAACTACCTATTTTAAGAGTATAGAAAATAAATTTATTTTACGCAGCTTTCAGAATATGAAAACAGATTACGAGTATGTATGAAAGTAGAACTCGTATTAGTTGGATATTCCTTTTTACGATGAATAGATAAGACTAGCATATTACTAAAATATACTGTTATAAACGCGCTGCTATGGATCGAGAAATCGCTGGAATCGAGATGTAAGAATACGAAAGCGAGAATCGAAAACATGACACACGATTTACGTGGTTCACTAACACGATGTGTGTTACCTAGTCCACGGGCGAGAGAGAGCCAGTTTCACTATATCAAGAAGATTACAGATTACAGAGGAGATGAGAAGTATCCATGTGGGTCTAAACTTAATCTAATCTGGCAAAGAAAACGGTTACAGACCAGGCCCAGAACCTGAACTCATATAACATTGAGCCCATACACCACGGGCCGGGGGCGTTGCCCCTGGACCCCACTCGCTAACCGGGCAGCGAGACCTCCGACTATTACAGTCATAACGACTATAGTCCGATTCAAGTCACATCAACATATACTCCAGATAATTTGAACTTTGGATATACTTCGTTTTACTGCTAGGAGAATTTTAAATATGCACTGTGAATCGATATTTAGAGTTAGATCTTTGTCGGTCAAAATTAATAATGCATTCCACCAAGATATCTAAGTTTTAAACTTTAAACCTGATATGCATTGAGGGAAGTATAAATATATATTATCCTCATCATGTAGTCACATGGGTTCAAATGGAGGAAGAACATGCTCAAAGCTGCCAAATTGCATGCGATGGAGTAATACAGATCCGGTAAAAACATATTTTATACAACAAAGGCAGAGAGGAGCACCATGCTCAAGGCGAAATGCACCGGAGCTCTTGCCGTGGCATAATCGGACTTTGAGTCAATTGGTATATCTTAAGATAAATTAATAATACAAAAACAACTTTAGGTTTAAAAAAAAATACATAAATGAAACGCTTAATTTTGATGCTTTACTAATACGGTATTATTTTTACTTCCATAACCAAACACAACGTGATTTCATATTTTGAAAACATCATAAACTCATTCGGGGTCTACAATATATTGAGCACATCCTATACCAAATGTCTTCTTCTTCCAGTTCCAGCAACGGAAGCACGAGACATCCATTTCAACATGTTCTCCGCCTGAACTGAAGTCCGTTCACTATCTTCGATCCACGCCACTTCTTTCTCCAATCTGCGACATCATCAAACTCAACCGTTTCATGCTTGCTCCTCAACATTTAAAAATGTTTTCAGCTTCACTGCCTTTGGTCAATGGTCATCACATGATCTGCAACTTGCGTATGTGCCAGCTATGTTGCCGCTCCACTACTTCAACGGATTTTTGGATCCACCATACCTCACGAAGCAACTTGAAAAAAAAGGCATGCATGGGATTAATTTGACTTGTGAGAATTAGTAGCTACTTAATTATATCCCTCTAAGTCTGCATGTCTAGCCTTAGATATTCACTAATCTGGTTTGGTCAAGCCTGATCGGGTTATAGAGTCAGTTTGTCTGCATGGTTAGTTTAGTGTTGGGTTATCTTTTGATTTTTTAAGGGTCGCGCAAGTCAACTTAGGATCAGATTACTTTTTGTCGCTATGACGCATATTAACAATAAGTGATATGAAATTGCTCATGTTAACATATTAGATCCGTTTGTAAAGTTTTAGGGACAAAAAGTACGTACCTGAACTTGCTTGAACATGGCAGCGGCATGCAAAACGGTGTTCCCACCTTCATCTCCCGACCTGAAGATCGATTCAACCACATCCTTCTTCCCGCCGCTACTGACCATCATCTCAACCAACACCTTCAGGGCCTCCAGATGGCCGCACTTCACGCACAGGTGCAAAACAGTCTCTCCACCGTCCAGCTTCACAAGCACAGACTCCGGCCTCGCACCGACCAGCTCTCTCACGACGTCGCTCCTGCCTCTCATCGTCGCCAAGTGGAGAGGAATCCTGCCGTCCACGTCGCGAACCAGGCAGGCATCCGAGCCCACACCGCCTGCAGTGTCCAACAACGCCCTGACGAGCTCCACGTGGCCGGCAGCGGAGGCCAGGTGGAGCGGGGTGCAGTTGGACGCGTCGACCTCCCTGGCCATTCGAGGTTCGTGGCGGAGAAGCGCTCTAGTGAAGTCGAGGTGGCCGGCGAGGACCGAGATGTGGAGAGGGGTTTCGGTGAAGGAAGAGAGCGGGAGTTTCTTGAGGATCAAGGTATCGCTCCGGAGCAGGCCTTGGAGGGTTTCGGTGTCGCCTCTCATTGCGGCGTCGTAGAGAGCCGTTGCATCGACTTTGTTGGTTGGGTTGATGATCTCCATTATATTGTTTGCTTGTTCTAATGGTGGCATTGGTGGCTCTCTAGCTAGACAATGCATGCATGGTCTTTTATATATAGTGCCACCTAGTTCATCGTCACGTGGGGCACAAACAAACAAACAGACAAAAGGGGGAAACAAGTTGGAAGGCAACGGCCAATGGGATTCACCGGCCGGTTGTAGAGGAATGGAACCCGCCGCCGTGGGATCCACCGGCTGCGGGAAAATGTAACCTAGCTATGAGGTGCATGGTATTTTATATAGCCACGTGGGGTACAAACAAACAAAAGGGGGAAAACAAGTTGGATGCCAAAAGCCAATGGGATTCACCGGCCGGTTGTGGAAAAGTGTAACCTATGACGTCCTGCATATTTCGTCTGATATAGTAAGTAAGTAAGTACAGCTTTAAGGCAACGTTGACGACGACGAAGACTTCACCCGAAAATATAATGCTTACTATAACACCATAGGTTACAGCTTTAAGACAACGTTGACGACGACGAAGACTTCAAGGGATTTTTCCCACCCGAAAATATAATGCTTACTATATGTTGATCGTTGCGTAGAGAAAATCAAAAAGAACTTAGAACGAGAAGACACGGGATTTACGTGGTTTCCTTGTTCGATAGGGATCGAACAAGACTAGTCCACGGGAGGGTCGTAGCTTTCTTATTTCACTTAATCACCAACGTTTCCTGTACATTGCATATATATACACTCGGCATCACCATTAACCCTAGCCGATCCTATTTTGACCTAATGGGCCAAGCCCTTCAACATAACAAGGCTTTTGGCCTTTAGGCCGTATCATAATACTCAACACCCTCCCCCAAATTGATGGGGAGTTCTCATCATCAATTTGCTCGCCAAGAATGAATGTCGAGTAACCGTAAAGGCCTTGGTGAATAAATCTGCAAGTTGATCTTCGGAAGCAATGTAGAAGATACGAAGAGTACCATCACGAACCAGATCACGGACGTAGTGGATGTGTACCTCTATATGCTTCGTGCGATCGTGAAGAACTGGATTAGTAGCAATGCGGATGGCACTGGTGTTGTCAACGTAGAGTTCCATCGGGGTGACACACTTCACACCAAGATCGCCCAATAAACGATGCAACCACTCGAGTTCTGATGTCACATCAGACATGGCGCGATACTCGGCTTCGGTGGAAGATTTAGAAACTCGGTCCTGCTTCTTACACCTCCAAGAAATAACCGAAGACCCAAGACGAATACACCAC